CATCCCTTTTCCAATAACAACACCAGTACGCCAAACAAACGCAACATCAGAAAATCACTCACATCACCTCACTGAACCGTGAATCGTCCAACGTGCTCGACGGTAGACTTATCTCCAGTCCCATTCCAGGTGATGAAATCAGGCACGCGAAAACCACGTGGAAAGGGATAATATCTATCAACCCAGTCCGGATATGGTTCTCGGTACAACGACGTCATCGTTGGTCTAATCCCTAAACCAAACTGATCCGTCAGCATCTGTGCTACCTGATCTCAAATAACAATAACGTCTTGTCCCCCGAGTTGCCCCCCTTGTGGTACGAATCCACCAGGATCCGTCCCATTAAACGGTGAAAACAATTTAAACAACGAAAATGGTTTTCCAAACAATAGTGCTCGAATTAGTATGCCGAGACAGGGAGTTCCGCCGACATCGGTGATGAACCCACCAACTTCGCGAGTTAATCTTGGCGAGACTAGCACTGCTGCTAACACTCGCATTGAACCACCGCTGTTTCACGGTGGGAGTCCACAAAATATCCCAGAGGCCAGACCCTCAAATTAGTCTCAGCATTTAATTCGATACCGCATGGCAAAAAACGTTGTCGTTTGGAGTCGAGAGGCATCGCGGAGAGTTAAAACGACACCGCGAGGAAGCCCAACAACACTACGGTACTTAAAACGACATTTTTTAGGGAAAAACAATGTCGGATTTACTCGGCCTGCTGGTGTTGTTATTGGAAAAGGAATTCTTTTTGTTTCAGAACACTCATGGCTTGGTTTCTCGTTTCTCGTCGAACACCCTTGTTCGAACGTAGTTTGGAGAGGTGGTGAACCGAGTAACAATTGTTCTTGGTTAGAAGTCAAAGGTGTATCGATCAAATCAGCATCGCCGACGCCTGGCGGTGGATATTTGACGGTCATCTTGGTTTCTATTTGATCGATCAAATCAACTCCTGATTCCTTCGTCGCGGAGGCATCACGAGCACACGGGTCCTACCGAGTGTGCCAATTTGTTTCGATGGCGAAACTCGGGTGTTTAATGTGCTCTGTTTTTAAGGAAACACAAAACACGAGATCAAAGAACGATCGTCAAATATCCACCGCCGGGCATCAGAGATGTTTATTTGATCGATCAAACAGAAACCAAGACGAATAAATATCAGGAAGAGAGAGAAGCTCGGGACGGAAAAATCAAACTACAAACTGCACCATCGCAGAATCTATCTTTTTTCTCTCTAGTTCGTAGAACTTCTCTGTCAAAAACCTCCTTTGCAGAGTCGTAGTAGTCTTTATTGTAGTCGTAGTCGTGGACTCCAAAGGACGTTCCTCTGGAAAGCTCCGCGACTACGACTACGATAAAGACTACTATGACTCTGCAACCTATCCTCGCAGTGTCGTTGGATCTTTGAGACACCGTTGGGCTTATCTCACAACGTTGTACTCCACAAAACAATGTTGTTTCCTACACCGCGACATCGTTTTAAACTTGGACTTGGCAAGGCCCCCTGCCAAAATATTGTTTTTAATTAAACGGTGTCGCTTAGCAATACCACTGCGTTGTGGACACCTCTTGCGTTGTCGTTCTCAAATTTGTTTCGATGGCGAAAATCGTGTGTTTAATGCACTATGTTTTCAAGGAAACATAAAACACAAGATCAAAGATTCCGGGATAGATTCTGCGACGGTGCAAATTGTGATTTGATTTTGCCATCCTGAGCTTCTCTCTCTTCCTGATATTTATACCCCATAGTCGTAGTAACCGCCTTCGCGCCTTTGTCTCCCACGTTCTTCATTCATGTCAACCGTGCGGATAACTCCCTCCTTGTTGTGTAACACCCATGAGTATGAAACCGCTTGGACATGCGGGAACTTTGCCAAAACGACATTGAGCCAAAATCCATGATTTCCCACCACGGTTCGATCCTCCAAACAACCCTGTCCACATAATAAACAAACGACATCAAAACACACGCCGTCGCCGAACTCTCGCCACTGCGATGTTGTTTTAAGCTAAACCACATTGCTTCCTATTGTTTGGAGGATAGAACCGTGGTGGAAATTATGGATTTTGGCTCAGTGTCGTTTGGGCCAAGTTCTCGCGTGTCCAAGCGGTTTGGTACTCGTGGGAGTTACGCAACAAGGCATGGGGTTTTTCTTCTTCTTTGGACCAGAGTTGTCAAATATGGCCAATCAGATTGGCCACAATGGTTCACGCGGCAAAGCGGTGCTGCTGAATTTTTCTTTTTATTTTTGGCGTGAAAAATTGTTGGTTTTTATTAAAAGCCAAAACTGTTGGTTTTAATTAAAAATAAAAAGCCACAAAAAACAGCGAATTCAGACCGTTAGATGTCATCTTCAATTTTAGAAAATCCAAAAAACTTTGGTAGGTGAATGTTTGATGGAAAGGAACCCTGCAAAGGGGTGAACCCTCATGAAGTTGTGGCTTATGATGTCTTATCTTGATCATGCTGACAAAAGAGGTTGTCATCATGATGCTCTGGTTCAGAGGTGGCCAGTAATTATCCCTGGCCCACCAGCAAAAAATTTCTCCTGAATTGGGGATGTCCCATTTCATGGAGAGGCCAACATCGGCGCAGTGTTAACCTCTTCTCAACAATATCAAATATTCTCACAAACCCCATTTAATTCAAATAAAAATAGTACCTTTGTTTTAAACCACGCACCAGAAAAAGAAGCCGACGAGAAAAAAACTCAAGCTACAAAAAATCACACTCCACTGAACTTACTTGCCAATGATTGCAATAACCGAGAAACTACCAAATTAAAGTATTTTATAAATTAGCTCTGCCTATCTGCCAAATGTGAGAGTACCAACATCAGATGTTTTCTTGAGCACCCCAACATACTCACAAAATGGTGATTCAAAATAAATGAAATCCCGTGATCTCACAGCGCAACCATGTGCGGCACATGCGTGTGCGTCACACTACCGGGCGCGCGCAAGACCTCTCCCTCCGCTTCCCACCTTATTGTAATTTTTTTTCCAAAATACAAAATGTCGAAGATGAAATGCTAATCTTTCCCATTTTCCCCTTTCCCACCCACAATTCTCCATTTACCAATATTTCCCATCCCCCCTCTTGTAATTTTTTTCCAAAATACAGAAACTAAACAATATGTTTCATTAAATATGGTGATTAATAAATTATTTATCCTAATATTTATGGGAGGTGAATGTTTGATGGAAAGGAACCCTACAAAGGGGTGAACCCTCATGAAGTTGTGGCTTATGGTTCTTATCTTGATCATGTTGATAAAGAAGTTGTCATCATGATGCTCTGGTTTGGAGGTGGCTAGTAATTCCCCATGGCCCTCCAGCAAAAAAGTTCTCAATTACACTATATTTTTCCCAGGAGATTAAATCGTTCAAGTTAAAAGCTAGCTACAGGAAGAGGAGAGCAACGACGGAAGAGATTTACTGAGCTTCGAACATCTTATTCGTTAAGAGGAGCAACGACAATCGATCGCCTGATTGTTCTTCTCATTCTTCTGTTTCACTGGAGAGTGCCGGGAAAGAAACTATATCAGAAATCTTGACTCCAATTGAGGCTTCAGTAAGAGAGAGAGAGAGAGAGAGAGAGAGAGAGAGAGAGAGAGAGAGAGGGCGAGTTGGCCAGTTTCTTTTACTATGTTACTTGAAACACACGAGACTTCAATGTGAGTGAGATGAGATTGCTGATTGACTCATTTTCTGGAGTCTTTGTCGCTATATTGTATGCACTCATATGAGGTGAGCAGTCCTTTCACCTTGATGGATTTGTCCAAACGGTTGGAATAAACGATCGAGCTGAAGAAAGTAGATAAATGCAAGCGTCTAGAGATGGTGTCCTTAAATATATGACAAACGAGGAGGTGACATGGAACTAGAAGCTTCATATGACACTAAAATAATATAACGACCATACAAAAACCTTGTGGTGTGATTTAAGAATCTTGTGGTGTACTTTTAAGAAACATGTGGTGTGCTTTATGTGAATTATGGTGCATTTTCATAAACTTGTGGTTCACTTTGTGGAACTTGTGGTGTGCTTTAAGAAACTTGTGAAAATTCTATGTTAGTTGTATGAGAGCGGATTGCATCATTAATCTAAGGTCAATAAACTTGTATAACCATACACTTATACATTTATCGAAGTCAAATCGATGGGTAGTAGTGGAAGGGGCAATGGATTGTTGGCATGAAGAAGGAGGCGACAGGAGAGGGTGAGAGAGATGTAATATAGAAACTAGAGAGAAAGAGCACGAGCTGGAGAGAGACAGAGAAAGGGTTGGTGGTATGAGCGAAGGAGAAAAGGGTTACAATCATTAGGTTTTCCCGTTATTGTAAATATTTTTTCCAAAATACAGAAACTAAACAATATGTTTCATTAAATATGGTGATTAATAAATTATTTATTCTAAAGTCAAATAAAAATAGTAAGTACCAAACAAAATTGAGGAGCGATGTTGGTGGTCGTGATGAACTTGATAAAGGTGGGATTGTCATCCTTCTTCAAATTTTCTTCAATGTCGGTCGCCTTCCTTCTTGCATTTTGGTGGGCAGGGTGGTTTGAACTCTCCACTGCCACCTTCCTACTCTTCTTATTGCTGAGAGAAAGTGAATGGAAATAAAAAAATTCTAAACACCCATTTTCATTGACGGATGACGATAAAACAAAAAATCATATACTTTTGAGGCTCGATCGCCGGAAGACAAACATCGAAACTTGGTAGAAAAAGATGACGACGAAAGGCTATACTCCGGCTCCAATAATAGTCATTGCTTACCTCTACAAGCAGTCAATGTCGAAAATATAATCATTTCTTGTGAGAGTATCAACATTTGTTTTTTTTAGCACCTCAACATAATTTCTATTGCATTCTATCTCAAAAATGTATAGACGATTAGAGGAAAACATCTGCGTAAGCGAGAACATCCCATTCTGTGGTAACCACTGATGGCATTGCTTATAAATTGAAAGGGAGTCTGATGTTAGTCTTGATTTGTATTATACAACTGAGCTATACACCCTTGATAGAGGGTTAGGTTGATTCAAAAGAGGTTCTAATAAAATAGTGGACCAGTTGGCCATCTCACCAAAATTCCCTTGAGGCGGCCAAATTTATGGATGGAATAACATATGCAGTATGTACAGACAAAAGTATTCGGTTATTGGGGATAAATCAATATACTTCTAATGTCGAATCGGGATCAACTAGGACAGAAATAAAGCATTGGGTCGAAACCAGTCCTCCAGTTCAGGAAGAAGGAGTGGGATCTGTTGGATTACTCCCTCGGTTTCCAACTGGATCTCTCTCACTTCAAGAATATGATGGAGGTGTATCGGAATACCTACAAACGAGTCTTCCTCACAAAGATATCCCGATAGATGTAGGGTTGGTTTACACTTTAGAAGGAATAGTACCAATGCTATTACTCCACCAATTGCAATTCCCGAGGTTGAACAGAGAGGATCGGGCTAAACTGCTGGTTTAAGAGAAAGTAAGAGGTTTGTTTCGGAGTGTCCGAACGTATGATTCAAAATAAATGAAATCTCATTATCTCACAGCCGAACCATATGTCGGGCGCGCACGCCGCACTGCCGGACGTGCGCCGGATCTACCCCCCACCCCCGCGCCACAAAGTCGACGAGAAAAAACTCAAACTACAAAAAACCACACTCCACTAAACTTACTGACCAACGATTGCAATAGCCGAGAAACTACCAAATTACAATATTTTATAAATTAGCTTTGTCTACCAGCCAAATGTGAGAATATTAAAATCTGATGTTTTCTTGAGCACCCCAACAGACTCACAAAGTGGTGATTCAAAATAAATGAAATCCCATGATCTCACAACCCAACCATGTGTAGCGCACGCGCGTGCCCTCCCCTTCCTCTCTCCCCCCCCCCCTTGTTGTAAAATTTTTCCAAAATACAAAATGTCGAAGATGGAATACTTATCTATCCCATTTCTCCCTTTCCCACCCACAATTCCCTGTTTGAAAGAAAGGAACCATACAAAGCGGTGAACCCTCATGAACTCGTGGCTTATGGTGTCTCCTCCTACCGCCACCGCCGTCGCTACCGCAAGATGTGGATTATGAGGCGCCGGAAACACCATAAAGTACTCTACTGATCAATGTTACTTCTTATCTTGACGTGTTCCCGCATCTAACTAGGCGTGAAACCCCTAAGCGAGGCGTTTTACCATTGCCTTGTTCCTAGACGTGACTAAGAGTGGAAAAAACCATATAAATGTGAACCTGTGTTAACTTCTTTCTTCTTCTTCTTCTTCTTCTTCAGTTCTCTGCAAGTTGGTGGTCCTCGAATTGACCTTAAACTTGTGTTGCACATGTTCAAAGTAAGAAAGTTCTCGTGTGGTTGATGTCTTCCGTGGGTGACCCTTCTTAGGTTGTGTCCCACGTGGCTCATCTAGTCCATCATCTTCATGGTGAAGATGACTCCGCAAAAGGCCAATGGCTGCTCGGATTGTAGCATTATCTTTAATAAAAAAACTCTGTCACTGGCATATTTAAAGTCAAACGAACAGAATGCTCTCAATCCTCCCACTCTTGTTGGTTGGGAGGATTTCGATAATTCAAAATTGACCAAAAAATGTCTAAGTCCTTAATTGCAAAATCACGTTGTTCCATTCGAGCTCACCGAATCATGAATCTACATGGTAAACCGAGTATTCTTGGGAAAATACATTGGTAAGATTTTCCTTGTTATTTGGTCCAAAGAAATAACAGGTTATCTGATCCAGATAAATAACCTGTTATTTTGCTAGATAATGAAACTTAAGCTAAAGTAAGGTACATCTAAAGACATGTGTTTCATTAATTTTATTACTTGCTTACCCCATGCTACACCCGGTCGTTCTTTATACTTGGAATCCGATTGGGAAGTTGTAGTTAGTGCGAGCCAAGTTTTTGGCCCCATTGCAGGGGACATTCTAGGTTATCAACAAAAGGCCTAGGTTGTTAGTTGAGCCGTTTTGTTTTTGTTTTATGTTCTGATGACCCACTCTTCGCTCCGAAGGGTGGTTTGTGTTTGTTTGATTTTCTTTTTGTGCCTGTAGTTTGAATCATGGATCCAAATGGCTTCGGCAACATATGGTGAGATCCAAATTGGAGTTGGCCATGGAGGCTATCATGGGGGCATTCCTCAAGACCATGTGACACTCCACAATCGAAGTCGACTCACCAATTAAAGCTCATGGTGGAGCTGTTTCCCCAAGGCACCGAGGAATGATGCTCGAATTTGGATTTCCCACAATCCAAAGAGAAGTCTAAGTTAGATCTAGCTATGGAAAACTTCAAGGCAAGCAACTCATTGGATATTGTCATGGAGAAATTTGAAGAAACATGCTTTGACATGGATTTCCAACCCCTCCCTCCTCCTATTTTGACATTACAAGTGAAGGTTGCACAAGCTTGTGCATGCTTTCATCTCATACCATTTGAAGGAAAAGATGAGGCTGAGAAGGAAATCCATGAGCACTTTGATGAACAAGAAAAACTCATCCCGGAGAACTCATGTAATGAGTATGAACAAGAAGAAACCCATTTTGCACTCCACACCTCTCCCCATCATGCAACCAACTTTAAGAAGCAAGTCACGATGGTTAAGTAGCAATATAACCCTTTCAATGACCTTGCATGTCGTCTTGCACTCCAATTTTTCCTTGAAGAGACGAATGGGAAGGTAGAGAAGGGGTTGAGGAAAAAGAAGTAAGTGTTGAAGAAGGGGAAGATCTTTATCGTTCCAAATGGAAGAAAAAATTGAGGAAGAAGGAAGGTAGTTTGATGAATCAAATGGTGTGCAAGATGAGGACGAGGTGAGGTGGATGAAGCATCCACGAGTTACGAGTGCTACCATAGTTTTCCACTCAACCTTGATGCACTTTTAGAGGACTTTTTTGTGACTCTTTTCCAAGCCAAGGCCAAACCAATATCGATCCCTCTTGGTGGATGCAATGGTGGTCAATCGATGATTTCCTACATGGTGTGGGGCTAAGAGAAGAAAGAAGAAAAGAAGAAGAGGTCCCGTGGGTGGAGCCTCAAAACTATTCAAGTTCACGAGCCTCAAATTATGAACTCATCCAATGCTCGTGACTTGAGACACTAACTGACCGGCGAGAACCTCAACTTGAAGGAGATTTTGGGATGGACCAATACTTAGGATCCACTGTCCGGCTCACGACGTTAAAGTGCTAGTGATAAGGATGAATTTGCACATGTTTGCACCTTTAGTTCTTATCCGTTTGCGGCTAGTAGTCGTGTATTTTTGGCCCGTTTTACGCTGGGTTGTGCTACTTTGTCATATTTCAGGTCCCAGACGTCGAAGGAAAGGCTAAGCACGAAATTCGGGGCATTTGGAGGTCATTTGGTCAAGCTCTGGGCAAAACACGGGCAGGAGGCCTGAAGAACACGGTCGTGTACACAAACAGGCACGCGCAGTGTTTTTATGTGCGAGAGCTAAACTGATGGAAAAGCAAAACACGGGCTGGCCTAAAGAAAAACACGACCATGTCCATATTTAGTCACGACCGTGTTTTGGCCGACGCGGGAGTGTTTTTAACACGTGGCAAGGGCACGGACGGGCAAAAACAAAACACGACCGTGCCCTCGACCGTGTTTTGCCGAGAATCGGGTTTTTGAGGCAGATTCGAGCCAAAGGAGCTATTTGGAGTGGATTTCTCACCATTGAAGCCCATATTGCATCCCCAGGAGTGAAGATTGACATTCCAGAGCAGATTCTTCCCATTGTTATGAGTATGACTACTCTGATTTTTGTTTCCCTCTTTCTCTCTGTGGAGTAGAACTCTCTCTCACTTGGGTATGAAGAACCCTAGTTCCATGTGTTAGAAATCTTGATTGTAATTATGTTTGGATTGTGATATTTCTTGATTATAATCGATTGAAGTGTTTTGAATGAGTCAATTGAAGTCTGATCATCTTTTATTGATTTTTGCTGCAACCTGAGATAGATAGAATCTGATTAGGTTGTTAGAGCTTCTTCAATCGGTAGTAGTGAATTGATTATACGAGAGTTAGTCAATTCACAGCTTTGTACTGGAATCTAATTCCAGTAGTGGAGTTCTGTGTTCATTGCCTCAGCGTTCTATCCTGGTGAATATTAGTCGCCTGCCGGGTAGTTTGACTGAGAGGGCTTGGCCAGCTTAAGAGATTCCAGCTACTGCCGGATCTTCCACAGTATAATCAGCAGTAAAGCAACCAAAAGTAATTATAATTGTGACCTAACTAAGGAGCTAGGGGGACTCATTCCCGAGTGACTCTTCCCTTGCTTTAGAAAACCAAACCATTTCCTGCTTTCTTACTACTTTTAGTTAAAATCACAATCACTCGACTTAGTTTGCTAGATAATAGATAATCACGGAGTAGGCAGTAGATCTAGACCCCAGGTTGGCAATTAGATCTTGCCTGTTACTCCATTTCCGGACTGCGATTACACTTGGTCGCAGTTTGGTGTTGTGTTTTAGCGTGTCAAGTTTTTGGCGTCGTTGCCATCCAACTGAGGTACTTCCCATTCACTTTGGAGGGGCAGGCCAAGGAGTGGCTGGACACCAGGTCCCCTGGATCGATCACCACGTTCGCCAACCTGGAGAACAAGTTCCTCACTCGCTGCCATCCTCTGTCCAAGACGGCGGACCTGCAGAAGCAAATTACCCACTTTGCTCAAGACGAAGATGAGACCATTTAGGATGTTTGGGAGAGATATACCAGTCTCTTCCTCAAGTGTGCCAACCATGGTTATACTGACGCCTTCAAGGTGGGCACCTTCTACCATGCCCTCTTCCCGGAGGACAAGCAGCTGATTGACTCGGTCTGTGGCGGGAATATGCTCACCAAAACACCGCCACAACTGAATCAACTCTTTGAAGAGATGGCAGAGTCGGGCTATGGCTGGGGAACTGCGAGGAGATCGATACGAGCACCATGGTGGGGTGTGCATGTTGTAGCCACCCAGTCATCTTATTTGGTGCAGGTGGTATCGAAATTGGTTTCAGCCACCGATCGTTCTGGGATGATTTCAGGTACTGGACAACAGCAAGCGATGCAGTTCCAGTGGTGTGAGAGCACCCATCACACCATGGAGGACTGTCAAGCGACGAGGGAGTCGTCTACTCCCCAGGAGGAGGTGAACTTCATCATTAATGTCAGGCGCAACGATCCTTACAGTAATACCTACAATGAGGGATGGTGCCAGCATCCAAATATCTCCTGGAGTGGCAACAGCAATCCAAAGCCACCTGGGTTCCAGACTCCTTCAGTTAGTTTTCCAAACCAGAGGCAGCCATACCAGCCTCGCCCGGGCCAGATGCAACAACAGTAACCACTCTATCAGCCCAGACAGGGGCAGGCTTTTCAACAGCCCCCATAGCAGCAGTACCAGCAACCTGGTGCACCTCCATCAGTCCCAGCACCAGGTTATCTCGTGTCGGAACTAAGGGATCTAGTGACTACCTTGGCGAGCATTAGTACCCAAAAGTTCAATAAATTGGAGCAATTCATGGAAGCGGCTGCAGGCAAATTCATGGAGATTGAAGCTGGCTAGAGAAACCAGCAAGCACTCCTGTAGGATATGGACACCAAGATCGGGCACCTGGCAGATGCCCTTGCTTCCAGACCGGCTGGCACACTTCCTGGCTAACCCCTACCGAATTCCAGAAATCATAAGGAGGGGTTGCACGCCATTATTCTGCGAAGTGGGACTGTGACTGCGGATGCACCCAGAAGAGTGCCAAGAAGGTGACCCAGATCACCCCAGAGCCGGAAGAATACCTGGAGATGGGAAAGGAGCCAGAGGATCAAGCTCCAAAGCCACAACCGGTAGTGGCTGAATACAAGCCTAAGCTCCCTTTTCCCACCAGGATTCACATAGACAGGCTAGAGGCAGAGTTTGGAAACTTCTCGTCCATGCTTAGGAAGCTGCATGTTCAAGTGCCCTTCATGGAGGCACTATCTCAGATGCCTAAGTATGCCAAGTTCCTGAAGAAGCTTCTCTCGAAGAAGCGAAGGCTGAGCGAGCTGGCCACTGTGGAGCTCAGCGAGGAGTGCTCAGCCATTCTACAGAACAAGCTTCCGCAGAAGCAGAAGGACCCAGGTAGTGTTACTATCACGTGCCCTATAGGTAAATTGCATGTAGAGAGGTCCTTGGCGGATCTAGGTGCTAGTATTAATGTGATACCATATAAATTGTTTAAGAAACTAGGCCTAGGTGAGCCCAGTGCAACTAGGATGAGTATCCAACTAGGTGACTGATCTATAGTTCATCCTAGGGGCAAAGTGGAAGACCTTCTGGTTAAGGTTGGCAGATTCTTTTATCCTGTGGATTTTGTTATCTTGGACATCAATGAGGACACAGAAGTGCCCCTTATACTGGTAAGGCCTTTCCTGGCCACCGCCAAGGCTCTTATAGATGTACATGATGGGACCTTAGTCTTGAGGGATGGCGAGGAGCGAATAACATTTTCCATTGCTAATACTCTCCCTGCTTCATCGCCTTTGCATGATGTTTCTCACCAGGAGCACGAGTCTGTCGTGCATCCTTCTATGCTTCCCATTTTGCAGGATCCCCCTCTCATATTTTTGCTGCCACCTTGGCCATCCGAGTATTCGCTCGCTTGCATCTTGCCGGATGGCCAAGTCGAGTTGACGAGTGCTGGTGGTCACTCTCGTCGAGTGCATGACCACCACCTGAAGTTGTACCTCAAGAGCGATATGGATCCACTCTTGAAGGCACATGTTCCTTCACCTCTCTGAGCATCCACCCTACTAGCATCCAGCTAAAAGACGATAAATAAGCGCTTGTGGGGAGGCAACCCCACCAAGGTTTGTTTTTCTTTCGTTTGTTTTTCAGTTTGTCCACTTAGAACTCCAGCTCTTTCACCCAGTGTATGTCTTTTGATGACTTTAGCTCTGTGCCTTTGACTGGTCCCCCTTCCAATCCCCTGCTATTGACTGGTCTGCCTTCCAGTCTCCGTTCCTGATCTCATTTCACGGTAACATCATTCCCCTTCCCTCTGTTCCATTGAGGACACTGTGGCATTTAAGTGTGTGTGTGTGTGAGGGGGGGGGGGGGGGTTGGGGTTCTTTGTATTCATTGGAATGTATATATGTGTGGGTGGAGCCTACTCCGATGTCCAAATCTCGAGATTTGAGGGCTCCAAGTACTGCAATTTGCTTGATGTTTGATCGTATTGGCACTGTGGATTTGATTGGTGAATCGAATGGCTTTCGAATTAATGCATGACAACTTGATTGTAACTAGGAAAGCCTATAATGATGACTGAGACGTGCAGTAGAACTGTGTAGGGGTTCAGTTTTTCAACTGTTTGCTTACCAACTGTGACTTGGATTGATCACTTGCTCTTGACAATCAATTATGCATCTAGATCAGGGAATCAGAATGAGAGATAGAGCATATGGGTAGTCATGTGAGATTTGAGCCTGCTCGTTTCTTTCTTGTCCGATAGTTCCCTTTTCCATGATGTGTAGCATTCGCGTTGTCATTAGCTAAGATGATGGAGGCATAGGATTAGCCCACGACCAAATTGACTCTCCTGGTGTGTCATACTCCCTAGTCAACCCCTTTGAGCCGTGTCAATTTCTTTCTTTCGGTCTACAATGAAAAATCACCCTTTTGCATCTCTTAAATGGTTCCACATAGTGGTTTTTACAAGTTCTCTGCTGTTTCTGCTAAATATAATGTGAGGGTTGGAGGTAGTTCTTCAAAATTTGGGCATGTGTTTGAAAAATGTGCATAGGTGGTGGTTCTTCAACAAATGAAAAAAAAGATGAATGAAAGCAAAAGAGAGCCACCACCAAAAATCTGAATAGTGCCCATTGAGTAGTGTTTCTTAGCAGTGTGGCTTGGAAATACTAGCATTTATGTGACCTCCTTCGCTCTTGTGCTCTAAAGAATGTGAGTAATGCAGAATGGCAGAAAGAAAGTAAGTGGTTTGATTGACTGTGATTGTGTTGGGTTTGGAATTGTGGAACCTTGTGCTATGAATACTTCCACCACCTAAAAGGCATTTTCCCCATGTCCAATACCCTAGCCAGTCATCTGAACCTGTGTCTAAGACCTCCGGATTAGTTAATGGTGACACCCCATATGTGAACTCTAGCATTTAGAGGCTGCCTTCATGGTCAAGAGACGTTAGGGATTGAGAGAATAAGCATGCGCATTTTTCGCATCAAATTGTCCTGACCCCATTGGTCGAGAGTGAGCGATTCATTTTCTCATATTATCTATACTCTTTACCCCGGTGAGGACCTAGATTGCTCGGTCTCAATTCTGATATCTTGAGCTTTGTGCATGAGGTGAGTGTCTTGAATAAGCGGTTGAGTCAAGTCCATGTTGGTTGGTGAACAGAAGGGAGACTCTTCCTTTGCTCGACTTTGCTGCACTCGAATGTCATCTGTGGTGGTTGTCTAGGTTGTCGTTGAGGTTGTCCATGTGTTAATGATCAAAAGCCAGTATGATTCACGTGTTTTGTGCCGATATGACATGTCCCTAAAGCCTGCTTGATTAAAACGTTTTGAGCTTACCTTTTGTCCGACTTGGTTTGCTTGGGGACAAGCAAACGGTTAAGTGTGGGGGAATTTGATAACGATGTATTTGCACATGTTTGCACCCTTAATTCTGTTTGCGGCTAGAAGTCGTGTATTTTTGGCCCGTTTTACACTGGGTTGTGCCACTTTGTCATATTTCAGGTCCCAGACGTCGAAAGAAAGGCTAAGCACGAGATTCAGGGCGTTTGGAGGTCATTCGGTCGAGCTGGGGGCAAAACACGCGCAGGAGGCCTGAAGAACATGGCCGTGTACACAAACAGGCACGCCAGTGTTTTTAAGTGCGAGAGCTGAACTGATGGAAAAAAAACACGATCCTTTGGCTCGAATCTACCTCAAAAACCCAATCCTGGGCAAAACACGGTCGAGGGCACGGCCGTGTTTTGCTTTTGCCCGTCCGTGCCCTTGCCACGTGTTAAAAACACGCCCGGGTTGGCCAAAACACGGTCGTGCCTCAATATGGACACTACCGTGTTTTTCTTTAGGCCAGCCCGTGTTTTGCTTTTCCATCAGTTCAACTCTCGCACATAAAAACATTGGCGTGCCTGTTTGTGTACACGGCCGTGTTCTTCAGGCCTCCTGCCCGTGTTTTGCCCCCAGCTCGACCGAATGACCTCCAAACGCCCCGAATCTCGTGCTTAGCCTTTCCTTTGAGGTCTAGGGCCTGAAATATGACAAAGTAGCACAACCCAGCGTAAAACGGGCCAAAAATACACGACTACTAGCCGCAAACGGATAAGAACTAAGGGTGCAAACATGTGCAAATACATCGTTATCAAATTCCCCCACACTTAACCGTTTGCTTGTCCCCAAGCAAACCAAGTCAGACACAAGGTAAGCTCAAAACGTTTTAATCAAGCAGGCTTTAGGGACATGTCATATCGGCGCAAAACACGTGAATCATACTGGCTTTTGATCATTAACACATGGACAACCTCAACGACAACCTAGACAACCACCACAGATGACAATCGAGTGAAACAAAGTCGAGCAAAGGAAGAGTCTCCCTTCTATTCACCAACCAACATGGACTTGACTCAACCACTTATTCGAGACAGTCACTTCATGCACAAAGCTCAAGATATCAGAATTAAGACTGAGCAATCTAGGTCCTCACCGGGGTAAAGAGTGTAGAAAATATGAGGAAATAAATCGCACACTCTCGACCAGTGGGGTCAGGACAGAATTTTGATGCAAGATGTGCATACTCATACTCTCAATTCCTAATGTCTCTTCGCCATGACGGCAGCCTCTAAATGTTAGAGTTCACATATCGGGTGTCATCACTAACTAATCCGGAGGTCTTAGACACAGGTTCAGATGACTGGCTAGGGTCTTGGACATGGGGAAAAGGCCTCTTAGGTGGTGGAAGTATTCATAGCACAAGGTTCCACAATTCCAAACCCAACACAATCACAGTCAATCAAACCACTCTTTCTTTCTGCCATTCTGCATTACTCACACTCGTTAGAGCACAAGAGCGAAGGAGGTCACATAAATGTTAGTATTTCCAAGCCACACTGCTAAGAAACACTACTCAATGGGCATTATTCAGATTTTGTGGTGATGGCTCTCTTTTGCTTTCATTCATTTTTTTTTTCTTTTTTTTTTCATTTCTTGAGAGAACCACCACCTATGAACATTTTTCAAACACATGCCCAACTTTTTTAAGAACTACCTCCAACCCTCACATTATATTTAGCAGAAACAACAGAGAACATGTAAAAACCACTCTGTGGAACCTTCTAAAAGATGCAAAGGGGTGATTTTCCATTATAGACCAAAAGAAAGGATAACACACGGCTCAAAGGGCTGACTAGGGGGTATGACACATCAAGACAGTCAATTTGGTCGTGGGCTAATCCTATGCCTCCATCATCTTAGCTAATGGCAACGTGAATGCTACACATCATGGAAGAGGGAACTATCGCACAAGAAAGAAACGAGCAGGCTCAAATCTCACATGGCTACCTATATGCTCTATATTTCATTATGATTCCCTGAACTAGATGCATAAATGACTGTCAAGATCAAGTGATCAATCCAAGTCACAGTTGGTAAGCAAACAGTTGAAAAACTGAAACCCTACACAGTTCTACTGCACGTCTTAGTTATCATTATAGGATGTCCTAGTTACAATCAAGTTGTCATGCATTAATTCAAAAGCCATTTGATTCACCAATCAAATCCACATTGCCAATACAATCAAACATCAACCAAACAGCAGTACTTGGAGCCCTCAAATCTCGAGATTTGGATAGCGGACTAGGCTCCAAGCACACATATATACGTTCCAATGAATACAAAGAACCCCCCACACTTAAATGCGACAGTGACCTCAATGGAGTAGAGGGAAGGGGAACGATGTTATCGTGAAATGAGATCAGGAACGGGGACTGGAAAGCAGACCAGTCAATAGCAGGGGACTGGAAGGGGGACCAGTCCAAGGCACAGAGCTAAAGTCATCAAATGAAACACACTGGGTGAAAGAACCGAAGTTCCAAGTGGACAAACTGAAAAAACAAATGAAAAAAAACAAACCTTGTTGGGGTTGCCTCCCCACAAGCGCTTCCTTACCGTCGTTTAGCTGGACGCCAGTAGGGTGGATGCTCAGAGAGGTGTAGGAACAGGTGCCTTCAAGAGTGGATCCACATCGCTCTTGAGGTACAACTTCAGGTGGTGGCCATGCACACGATGAGTGTGACCACCAGCACTCGTCAACTCGACCTGGCCATCCGGCAGGATGCAAGCGAGTGAATACTCGGATGGCCAAGGCGCGAGGCTCAGGAGGCGAGACCATCTCATAGTGGTCTCCGGATTTCTTTTGAGCAGGCTTAGCTACTTGTAGTTTCGGACGCCACTCCTCCTTTATCTTTTCCTTTGGTGACAGGGATCCTTCAAAATGGGAAGCACATAAGGATACACGACAGACTCGTGCTCCTGGTGAGAAACAGCATGCAAAGGCGATTAAGCAGGGAGAGTATTAGCAATGGAAAATGTTATTCACTCCTCGCCATCCCTCAAGACTAAGGTCCCATCATGGATATCTATAAGAGCCTTGGCGGTGGGCAGGAAAAGCCTTCCTAGTATAAGGGGCACTTCTGTGTCCTCATTGATGTCCAAGACAACAAAATCCACATGATAAAAGAATCTGCCAACCTTAACCAGAAGGTCTTCCACTATGCCCCTAGGATGAACTATAGATCAGTCAGCTAGTTGGATACTCATCCTAGTTGCATTGGGTTCACCTAGGCCTAGTTTCTGGAACAATTTATATGGTATCACATTAATACTAGCACCTAGATCCGCCAAGGACTTCTCTAAAATGCAATTTACCTATAGAGCACAGGATAGTAAAACTACCTGGGTCCTTCTGCTTCTGCGAAAGCTTGTTTTGCAGAATGATCGAGCACTCCTTGCTGAGCTCCACAGTGGCCAGCTCGCTCAGCCTTCGCTTATTTGAGAGAAGCTCCTTCAGGAACTTCGCATACTTAGGCATTTGAGATAGTGCCTCCATGAAGGGCACTTGAACATGTAGCTTCCTAAGCATGGACGAGAAGTTGCCAAACTCTGCCTCTAGCCTATCTTTGTGAATCCTGGTGGGACAATGGAGCTTAGGCTTGTATTCAGCCACTACCGGTTGTGGCTTTGGAGCTTGATCCTCCGGATCCTTTTCCATCACCAGGTCTTCTTCCGGCTCTGGGGTGATCTGGGTCACCTTCTTGGCACTCTTCTGCGGTGCATCCGCAATCACTGTCCCACTTTGCAGCGTAATGGCGTGCAACCCCTCCTTATGATTTCTAGGATTCGGTAGGGGTTAGTTAGGAAGTGTGCCAGCCGGTCTGGAAGCAAGGGCATCTGCCAGGTGCCCGATCTTGGTATCCATATCCTGCAGCAGTGCTTGCTGGTTTCTCTGGCCATCTTCAATCTCCATGAATTTGCATGCAGCCTCTTCCATGAATTGCTCCAATTTATTAAACTTTTGTGTACTAGTGCTCGCCAAGGTAGTCACTAGATCCCTCAGTTCCGACACGGGATCGCCCGGTGCTCGGACTGATGAAGGTGCACCAGGTTGCTGGTACTGCTGCTGTGGGGCTTTTGAAAAGCCTGCCCCTATCTGGGCTGATAGAGTGGTTGTTATTGCTGCATCTGGCCCGGGCGAGGCTGGTATGACTGCCTCTGGTTTGGAAAACTAGCTGCAGGAGTCTCGAAGCTAGGTGGTTTTGGAATGTTGGCGCCATCCCTCATTGTAGGTATTACGGAAAGGATCGTTGCGCCTGGCATTGTTGATGAAGTTCACCTGCTCCTGGGGACTAGACGACTCCCTCATCGCCTGACAGTCCTCCACGGTGTGATGGGTGCTGTCACACCACTGGTAGTGCATCGCCTGCTGCTGTCATGTACCTGAAATCATCCCAGAACGATCGCTGGCTGAAACCAGTTACGATACCACCTGCACCAAATCAGATGACTCGCTGGCTACAGCAATCACACCCCTCCCTGGTGCTCATCTCGATCTCCTCACATTTCCCCAGTCATAGCCCTGCTTTGCCATCTCTTCAAAGAGGTGATTCAGCTGTGGCGGTGTTTTGGTGAGCATATTCCCGCCACAGACTCAGTCAATCAGCTGCTTCTTCTCCGGGAAGAGGGCATGGTAAAAGGTGCCCACCTTGAAGGCGTCAGTAAAACCATGGTTGGGACACTTGAGGAAGAGACTGGTGTATCTCTCCCAAGCATCCCGAATGGTCTCATCTTCGTCTTGAGCAAAGTGGGTAATTTGCTTCTGCATGTCCGTCGTCTTGGACGGAGGATGGTAGCGAGTGAGGAACTTGTCTGCCAGGTTGGCGAACGTGGTGATCGATCCAGGGGGCCTGGTGTCCAGCCACTCCTTGGCCTGCCCCTCCAAAGTGAATGGGAAGTACCTCAGCTGGATGGCATCGGCTGGGACCCCATTTATCTTGATTCCATCGATGAGCTCGTGGAATCGCCTCAGATGTGATCGGGGGCACTCCCCCTCTTTGCCACGGAATACTACCGAGCCACGCAACATAGTGATGAACGAGGTGCTCACCTCAAAGTTGTTGGCTGGGACATAAGGGTGTTGAATGGGCGACCTCATGTCCGCGGCTCTGGCGGTCCAGTAGTACCCTATTGTATGTTCCTCGGGAATGACCACATCTTTGTTATGTGGGTCACCCATCTCTTCTTCGTCGGCGATTTGCAGTTGTGCTAGCACCTCCTCCGCAGCCAGTCGCGCCTTTAGAGCCCGCTTGAAGTTCCTACAGGTCCGTTCAAGCTCTTGGTCTAATGGTAGTAAATCTCCCGACTAGCTACGGGTCATGCACTACCTGCACACAATCAGCAAAAGCAACCCGTGAAGGCACACAGGTGGAAGAGAGAAAAGGCAGTAAAGAAGAAGCTAGAGTAACAAACTTCCACGTTTCTCCAATAACCTATAGGTTCCCCGGCAAAGGCGCCAAAAACTTGACATGCCAAAACACAACACCAAACTGCGACAAAGCGTAATCGCAGTCCGGAAATGCAGTAACAACATGGTTCAGGAAACCGTACCGGAAATCATACCGGACTCGTTTGTGGTAGGGTATTTTGTGGTACGACCGTGGTACAACCGTTATGTACGGGTAAAATACCGTTTGATAACAAAAAAAAATATTTTTGTTAAAAAACCGTACCGGCAAAATCATGGTACCGTTTCGAACTAATACCGGATAAAACCGAAATATACTGGACAACAAAACAAAATATGCTAAATAGACATAGGTAACATAACCATCAACAAACTATGCAACAATAAAAAATCAAGTATTAATCGTCCACAACATTTCAAAATCAACCCATCTATTCGCTTACTATTTCATTTTCATAGGTGATTGATTAACGTTGTTAATTTGTCATAAAGTGACGGGACAAAATGGAATATGGAATCCATTTATCTTGAATGCTTGAACTCAATGTTACGGCGGCGGACGTCTACAATGGAGGAATGTTTCGTTCCGTCTGCTGCTGTTTCTCAGCAAGTCGGGGTCGCCGGCTGCTGTTGTTTCTCGGCGAGTCGAGAACGAACGGAGTCGGGGAGGAAGTGAGGAAGTGAAGGAGGCAGAGACGGACAGACGGAGTCGCCGGCTGCTGTTGTTTCTCGACGAGTTGGGGACGGAGGCAGGCTCTGGAAGGGTTTTCACCTTTTCGGCAGTTGCTGGGAGTACGAGTAGGGTGGGAGGACAAAGGAAGAAGACGAATGAATTTCGTCGGTTAGGGTTGTTTTGTTTGGACGGATGGAATTCAATCGGTTAGGGTTGTTTTGTTTGGACCGGCCGACACACAAAAAATCGCTGGGCTCTCCTATCGTGTCGGACTTGGTCCGGTTTCCGGTTCAACCGGCCGGTCCGATCCGGTATCCTGGACCATGAGTAACAGGCAAGCTCTAATTATCAACCCGGGGTCTAGATCTACTGCTTACTACGTGTATATCCGTTATCTAGCAAACTAAGTTGATTGATTGTTGATTTAAGTAAAAGCAGTAAGAAAGCAGGAAATGGTTCGGTTTTCTAAAGCAAAGGAAGAGTCACTCGGGAATGAGTCCCCCTAGCTCCTTAGTTAGGTCACAGTTGTAATTACTTTTGGTTGCTTTACTGCTGATTATACTGCGGAAGATCCGACAGTGGCTTGGAATCTCTTAAGCTGACCAAGCCCTCTCAGTCAAACTACCCGGCAGACGACTAGTCTTCACTAGGATAGAACGCTGAGGCAATGAACCTAGAGAATTCCACTACTGGAATTGGATTCTAGTACAAAGCAGTGAATCGACCAACTCTCGTATAATTGATTCACTACTACCGAATGAAGAAGCTCTAACAACCTAATCAGATTCTATCTATCTCAAGTTGCAGCAGAAATCAATAAAAGATGATCAGACTTCAATTGACTCAATCAAAACACTTTAATTGATTACAATCAAGCAATATCACAATCTAAACGTAATTACAATCAAGATTCCTAACACATGGAACTAGGGTTCTTCATAACCAAGTGAGAGAAAGTTCTACTCCATAGAGAGAGAGAAAAACAGAAATTGGATTAGTCATACTCATAAAGATGAGGAAAATCAGCTCTGGGATGTCAATCTTCACTCCTGGGGATGCAATCTGGGCTTCAATGGTGAGAAATCCACTCCAAATAGCTCTTAGGGTTTGTTCTTCACACTTTCTCTCTCTAAAACTCTGTTTTTCCTCCAAAAAGTCGACTCCCTCTCCTTTGGCTCGAATCTGCCTCAAAAATCCGATTTTGGGCAAAACACGATCGAGGGCACGACCGTGTTTTGCTTTTGCTCATCCGTGTCCTTGCCACGTGTTAAAAACACGCCCGCGTCGGCCAACACACGGTCGTGCCTAAATATGGACACGACCGTGTTTTTCTTTAGGCCAGCCTGTGTTTTGATTTTCCATCAGTTCAGCTCTCGCACATAAAAACACTGGCGTGCTTGTTTCTGTACACGGTCATGTTCTTCAGGCCTCCTGCCCGTGTTTTGCCCCCAGCTCGACCGAATGACCTCCAAATGCCTCGAATCTCGTGCTTAGCCTTTCCTTCGACGTCTGAGACCTGAAATATGACAAAGTAGCACAACCCAGCGTAAAATGGGCAAAAAATACACGACTACTAGCCGCAAACGGATAAGAATTAAGGGTGCAACCATGATGTGGTCCTTCCTGAGGAGCAAACCATTGGGTACTACTGGACCGCCAAAGCTGCGGACATGAGGTCGCCCATTCAGCACCCTCATGTCCCAGCCAACAACTTTGAGGTGAGCACCTCGGTCATCGCTATGTTGCGCGCACTACAACAAATTCGGCCTATTAGGACAAAATTTTCATTTCGTCATTTTCTGTTTGTCACAATAGGTACGGTGATATGACAAAAATAATATATGTCCTATTTGGTATGCCCAATGTGACAAAATAGTTGTTGTCAGAATAATTCGCCATTTAAAGTGAGTAATATGACAAATATTTCGTGTCACAATTTATTTGTCAAAACAAGCGTCCCATATCGAGATGTAAGAGACTCAATAGTGACAAATTTCTTGTTGTCAGAATAGTGTGTCATTTAAAGTGAGTAATGTGACAAATATTTCGTGTCACAATTAAGTTTTTCAAAATAGACATCCCATATCGGAATGTAAGAGACACAAAAGTGACAAATTATATCGTCAGAGTAGCTTTTGTCATATTATGCCTTCCTGAATTGTTTAATGACAAATAATTTTGTTACAATAGATAGCAATAATCACACAGCGAGCTGACAAAAGGGCATGTTCGTCATAATATAGTCGTTTCGGCTTTGACAAAAGGCATGTTCGTCATAATATAGTTGTTCAAGATTATATGAGGGAGAATTTTTTGGCTTAAAATCTTACTTAGGTTCAAAAAATTTGTTTTGGCTCTCGCACGAAAATCATACCCGCCTCTTCTACCTATAAAAATAGAGTAAATACAATATAATAACTAAATCTCTCGTTTTAAATAAATTAATAGCAAAATCTTTTCAAAAACAATTTAATAAAAATCAATAACTTAATTGTGGCACATAGATTAATATAAATTTTGGCATATTTTTTTATTAAAAAAATAACAACAATAAAAACTTTACTCTTGTTCTTTCCCCTCCCTCTTGCATTGATTCCTCCACCAATCAAAGGCTTTCAACTAAACTAGTTTTTTACCCGCCCGTTGGGCGGTGTATTTTGTTTGGTTGTTTTATAATGCGTTATAGTATTCTAATTGTTATTATTATTTATATTTGCTAAGGTAATATACATGGAATTGTAAATCCCACTTACCTTATTTCAGGTATTATTTTATACTTTTATACCTTTTGTTTATTTATGAACATTTTAATTTTATTAATTGAACTATTTGTAGACGGTTCTTTATTGATTTAGAATTTTTTTCAAACTCGACCTTTAAGATTATAAACATAAGAGATTATTCATTCTTTAGCACAGAATTGTGATAAAGAAGTTAAAAAACTTACGGCCACAAAAGAAGAAGTTAGAATAAGAAAATATGCTTCAATTAATAAAAAAAATAAGCGAAGAGCTTTTTATTTTCTCTCCCTTCTCATATGTCGGTATATGATAATAGAGAATATTCCGATCTAAATCTCATGAATATCGTGTATTATCACTTACACATACAATTTTGGAATAATGAGGAAACTCATTAGCATCCACGTCCATCAATCTTCCACGTAGTTGTTTAATTACCTTGAAATGTTCTAGCAAAACCAACCACAAACAAAACTATCAGCTGTCACTAACTTATTAAAGCAATATTTTCAGCAAATTAAACTGCATATAATTAAACACAATTTATATGTTGTAGAGAGCTACATATCTCCTGCAGAAAAGAATTGTGCTTTATTACCTAATAACAACATAGACAAATAATGAAAGGAGCAGTCTTCAATACCACTCAACTCATTTTATCATTCAGATTCCTCATTTGTGAACTGAATATATGCATCAATCCAAATAGCAGTTTGTAAGAAAACAATCATGTCAAAATCAATTTTTAGTTAGGGATTCAATGCAGAAAAATTCACCTTAATGAAACAAACAAATGTCATCGCAAACATGTAGAAATTAAAAAAACATCGAAATAGACAACCGAGAAACCACCATTATCATTTTCTTTCTTCTTCGCGACCTTTATAAAACCCCAATTATGTTCCCTTCTACTTATAACTCCTTTGCTACCTACTAATTACTAACCTGATCATCATTGTATAGATAGCTAGTAGTATCATGTCAATCATGAACATAAAATATAATAAACAATCATCACAACTCTACTTTCCATTTCCACATTCAAGAAATCGGGTTGCAATAGGCATTCAAGAAAAACGATCAATTATTCAACCAAAGGAGGTATGCCCTAGGTCCAACCAATTAACCCTTCTAGTTATATTTTATATACATGAAAGTATATGGCGACCCTTCTCAGTAAAAAACAAAGACGAAATATATTCACTCATCGAGAGTGGGAAAATTTACCATCCAGCAGTCGTAATTTGGAAAAAAATAAGAAAAGAATGAGAAAAGAGTATAACTCGGCCAGTCAACCGCAAACAATAACATATCGCTGAGAAAGTGAGACCAGTTGCCAGCTTCAGATCAAGGAGGAAGAGGGAGCAGTCGACAACCCTCGGCTTGGTTCACCTCATCTTCACAATGATCAGATTAACTTTTTTCGTCAATAGGCAAAAATATGTTACAACTGCTCAAAATTTTGTCATCTTATCGTTGTCTCGTGTAATTTCTGCCTCCTATTCTCATACAAAGAAAAAAAATCGTACGCATTACCATTTCCTTCTCTATAAATTATGAGAATACAAATATTAGAAATCTCAAAAAATTTAGCAACTAATAAGAGGGCTTTGTTTATTTTTATGGTGGTTGACATACTTTTTTGATTTCTTATTTTCAATGTTGGATTTTATTTCTAGAGAGACAATCAAAATGGGGAAAGGGATAGAAAAAATTAAAAGTTTGCATTAATAATTAATATGTTTTCATTTAATAGAAATGAATAAGAAGTTTTTTAAAAAAATAAAAATTATTGCCCCATCAAGTTTATATTCAGACATTTTGCTATAAATTTATACTTGTTTTATTTGATAGGTATATACATAAGAAAGAAGTGAGTGTTTGATAGCAAAAAAACATATAGTCATATCATTGATTTCTCAAAGTCGATTGATTGTCAAACGCTTATTTTCTCTTAGACCATCGTTATATTTTGTATTGAAAAATATTAATATTTATGTGTGTGCTTGTTTTTTTTTCCTCATCAAAATGTAACTTATTATTAAGTTTTAGTAAAAATGAGTAGAAAATTTACTTAATCAGATTTAATCAGATCGGGTTAAACAAATACAATATATGTCACTCTCTGTTTCCATCTTTATAGTTCGTTTAATCAGAAAAAAATTATTACTTAGGAGTGTGTTTTTGTTTAAATGTTTCCTAAAAAATTAACTTATTTTAATTTTAGTAAAAATGAGTAGAATTATTAAAAGAAGAGAGAGACAACTTCATAAATAGATCAATAAATAGTTTTTTGTTTGAAAAAAAAATTGTCCACCTTGGCAACTTGTGCATTCACCAAGTGCTTATGTGGCAAGAAGTTATTTTTGAATAGCCATAATATTTAGTATAGATAGAAGATAGATAGATATGGGGCTTTTTCCCAACCTTCCCTGCTTCTTCTTCCACTAAGTGAAGGACAATATAAATTGATTTAATTTAACCCAAAAAATAAAAGCAGCTGGCACCCAATGTCCATCCTACGGACTGTGAGTCGTATGATTAGAATTCATCCAATGGCTGTTGTTGCTTAAACTCTTGAAACCCTAATGGAATATATGTCGGTTCCATCTACCTCTACTCTAAATTGCGACAGATCGAAAAGCAAAATCACAACCCCTTTGAAAAACAAAACAAAAAATGGCTCAATCCACCATGGATCACCTCTGGTACTACAGTGCCGCCTCCAGCACACTGGCGGGCGTTTCATTTTTTTGCCTCTTGTTTTTCGCCTCTGATACGGACTTCGCCATCAAGCACGGGATAGCAGATGTGAAGGAGCATTGCGCTGAAGCATGGCTATCGTATATCGTAGTTGACTATGATGTATAGAGACAAGAGCAGGACATTGATCAAGTTGGGGATTGAGATGAGGATGGCGGCGCCGGTGGAGTCGAGGGCAGCCTTGAAAACGAGCAGCCAGCAGAAGAGGAGGTGGAGGAGCGCGGGTGGTGTTCAGGAGTTGCTTCTCGATGGTAACCATGGTTTAATCCCTATAGGGATGGCAATGGGTCGGGTCGGGGACGAATAGTGCATATCCGTTACCCTACCCAAAGTAGTTCGGGTTTTACCCATACCCATACCCACATGTGAAACGGGTAGAAAATTAAAACCATGCCCATACCCGTTCGGGTTTCGGGTATCCACGGTTATCCATGGATAATAATTTCTTTTCATAACTCCAACCAATATGTTAACATTCACACGTATTCTCACATTACGTAAAAGAAAAAGTCCGACAATAGTTCACTAGAATGAAGAAAATTAACTAAAACAACACAATTTCATGAAAATATTATATTTATATGCTAAATATAAATATGTTAGAGAAAAATAATAATTATTTCTAGACAAAATACATATGCATGCGTATAATCGGGCGGGTTCGGGTTGGATAGTTAGAAACTCATGCCCACCCATTACCCGCAATATTCGGGTTCGGGTTTTACCCGTACCCACTAACTGTCCTTCGTGTTCGGGTTTTACCCTACCCGATTAGACCGGATTCGGGCGGATATCTACGGTTACGAATATTTTTGCCATCCCTAAATCCCTACATAGATTGGAAATCTACAGCAACTTTCGAAGATGGATTTCAGTGAATCGAATGAGAAAATTTATGGTGGAGCTTTAGGGCTCGAAGGGGAACCGCACATTCGCTTCACTTCTTTTTCACTTCGCCGCCAAATTGTCATCGGCAGCAGTGAGCAGTTCAACAATCCCGTTGCATTTTCATCCTATTTCTGAAGTTTGGGTTGGTTAGCATCAATTTAATGCATCGATTGTGAAATTGGGATTGAAATTTCAGATTTTAGGGGCTTTCTAGGCTTTGAAACCGAACAAATAAGGGATTTTTTTTTTGTTTTGATGGAATTTAAACTTCCTTCTTCCAATTTATTGCTTTAATTTTTTCACTCTATGCAGGCATATACCAAGAAAGAGAATGTTAGAAAGTTGAAACAGAAGCAACGAGAGTGCAAACAGCCTAAGACAGGGAAGATGAACATTGATTATCAGGTTTTGTTATCTAGAACTGTCATGTTGTTTTCGTTCTGGTGTATTTGTTTCTCAGCCTAGAAGGTGGTTTCATTTTGCATTGTTGCTGAGATTTCTGGCCTGTGTTGCTTTTATTTAGCTATGCATAAGCTTCCAGCTCTGAAGATTATTGTCTTTAGGTTCACCCAGCCAACTGGATCATCAGTTTGAGCTGGAAAACTGCATCCAAGTGGAAGATGTCCCATACTGCGGCTATGGGAATTGCTATCAGGTTTAAGTGAGTTTGAGCTTAGTAATAAAATTTGGTTTCCAAAATTCTTAGCTTCAAATAGTAATTTGCTAAATTAGAGGCCTATTGTTTTTTATTTTCAGCTGAGGTTGAAGGAAACAGTGGAGGTTGCTATTCAGCTTAGGGCAAATTGTGTACTTGATGTAGATTCAAAGGGGTACTCTTTTCAGTTTCTCAAGCAACTAAGGGGTAAATGATGCTTACTAAAGCCCGACCTAATTGCTTGTGTGTTTGAAATTTATAACAAAATTCGGTTTTGTGATAGATGTTTTGTATACTGTAGGGAAAATGGTGTGTGGAAATGTATTTTGTTGGACACAGGAATTTTGGTGAGATTTAGGAAAAGAGGAAATGATTTCACTCTATTATTATTATTTAATCTAACACGCTTAGGAAATTTTTGCCTTTGCATACACGAAGAGCTTATGCTCTTCCTTGCTAGCTCTCTTGCTCTCTATCTACCTACTGCATACACACTATTATTACATGAATATTATCGCCATAAGAGAATCGGCGGAAGTGATAAGTATTATCACTTTGCTGCACTTTGTTTTGTAGTTATTAAAAATGGTGATAAGCTTCATCCCTTCATGCGGTTAAGCTTGTCCATCACCATTAATTATAGTCCTTGTTGATAATTCTTATCAGCATAGCCAGACTTTGGGCTGCAGCACAACTTGGCCTTTCTTATTTCACATTTTCACGTGTAACTCTCTAGAATAGCCCATAATTGCAGATTAACTTTTACATATTTTGCATTTAGAAATGTCGGGGAAGGAAGAATTACAACTCTGCTCTTCTTTTTCTTCCTTGACTTCTATAAGGTATTTATATCCCTCTTTCCTAAAAGAAAATTATGAAGAATTACAACCCTGCTCTTTCTATAATATCTTGCTATTGGAATCTCGATGTTTGCTTAGCGGACTCCAAAACAATGGGAATTGCAGCTTGGGAGCAAAGCATTTATGAGAAAGAGCATGCCAGGTTGTAAGTATGGACCGAAGGAGAACTCAAGATCCGCAAAAGAAGTTAGAATGTTTTGTGTCATGGTGGACAACTTAGAATGTTCGGTTATGCTGAAAAAGGAGTTAGACTGCTATGAAAATGGTTGTAATATATTGGATCTTTGGTAATCTTTCCATTATCATATTGCAATGCAGGAAAAAATTACGAATTATGAAATTTTGGAAGCAGGTCAAATGTGACAACAATGTCATGTCTTCACATTATGTACATTGCCTGACAAATTGTTCTCTTATCATATTAGACATGAGTGATGAGACAAATAAACCATCTTTCCTGACAACCTATACTCATCATAATATGCAGTTATGACAAAATATATTTCTCATAATATTCAGTTATGACAAAATAATGTCGTCACAATAACCACTTGTGACAAAATGTAGTCGTCACAATATACAGTTATGACAAAATATAATTGTGTAATATGACGAACAATTCTCCCAAAATCACCAGATTATGACAACCATAATGACAAAATATGTCGTCATAACATCTCTGTTTGTCACAATAGACTACCTAAAACCTCAACTATACTGAAAGCAAATGTGACAACTTTGTTTTAAAATTTTGTCACATTTGATCTATCCTGACGGCGATAAAATGACAAACCTTTGTGACAACACCTTTTGTCATATCATACCTAATATGACAAAATGAGTATCTCATATGACAAAATTGTCTCGTCATAATAGGCGAAATTTGCTGTAGTGGCGGCTCGGTTGTATTCCGTGGCAAAGAGGGGGAGTGCCCCCGATCACATCTGAGGCGATTCCACGAGCTCGATGAAATCAAGATAAATGGGGTCCCAGCCGATGTCATCCAGCTGAGGTACTTCCCATTCACTTTGGAGGGGCAGGCCAAGGAGTGGCTGGACACAAGGCCCCCTAGATCGATCACCACGTTCGCCAACCTGGCGGACAAGTTCCTCACTCGCTACCATCCTCCGTCCAAGACGGCGGACCTGCAGAAGCAAATTACCCACTTTGCTCAAGACGAAGATGAGAACATTCGGGATGCTTGGGAGAGATACACCAGTCTCTTTCTCAAGTGTCCCAACCATGTTTTACTGACGCCTTCAAGGTGGGCACCTTCTACCATGCCCTCTTCCCGGAGGACAAGCAGCTGATTGACTCGGTCTGTGGTGGGAATATGCTCACCAAAACACCGCCACAGCTGAATCAACTCTTTGAAGAGATGGCATAGCAGGGCTATGACTGGGGAACTACGAGGAGATCGAGACGAGCACCAGGGCGGGGTGTGCATGCTGTAGCCACCCAGTCATCTGATTTGGTACAGGTGGTTTCGAAACTGGTTTCACCTATTGATCGCTCTGGGATGATTGCAGGTACAGGACAGCAGCAGGCGATGCACTGCCAGTGGTGTGAGAGTTCCCATCACACTGTGGAGGATTGTCAGGCGATGAGGGAGTCTTCCACTCCCCAGGAGCAGGTGAACTTCATCAACGATGCCAGGCGCAACGATCCTTACTGTAATACCTACAATGAGGGATGGCGCCAGCATCCAAATTTCTCCTGGAGTAGCAACAGCAATCCAAAGCCACCTGGCTTCCAGACTCTTGCCACTAGTTTTCCAAACCAGAGGCAGCCATACCAGCCTCGCTCGGGCCAGATGCAGCAACAACAGCCACTCTATCTACCAAGACAGGGGCAGGCTTTTCAACAGCCCCCACAGCAGCAGTACCAGCAACCTGGTGCACCTCCATCAGTCCCTCACCGGGCGATCCCATGTCGGAACTGAGGGATCTAGTGACTACCTTGGCGAGCACTAGTACCGAAAAGTTCAATAAATTGGAGCAATTCATGGAAGAGGCTGTAGGCAAATTCATGGAGATTGAAGCTGGCCAAAGAAACCAGCAATCACTCCTGCAGGATATGGATACCAAGATCGGGCACCTGGAAGATGCCCTTGCTTCCAGACCAGCTGGCACACTTCCTGGCCAACCCCTACCGAATCCTAGAAATCATTAGGAGGGGTTGCACGCCATTACGCTGCGAAGTGGGACTGTGACTGCGGATGCACCGCAGAAGAGTGCCAAGAAGGTGGTCCAGATCACCCGAGAGTGTGAAGAAGACTTGGTGATGGAAAAGGAGCCAGAGGATCAAGCTCCAAAGCCACAACCGGTAGTGGCTGAATACAAGCCTAAGCTCCCTTTTCCCACCAGGATTCACAAAGACAGGCTAGAGGCGGAGTTTGGCAACTTCTCGTCCATTCTTAGGAAGCTGCATGTTCAAGTCCACTTCATGGAGCTCAGCGAGGAGTGCTCGGCCATTCTGCAGAACAAGCTTCCGCAGAAGGACCCATGTAGTTTTACTATCCCGTGCTCTATAGGTAAATTGCATGTAGAGAGGTCCTTGGCGGATCTAGGTGCTAGTATTAATGTGATATCATATAAATTGTTCAAGAAACTAGGCCTAGGTGAACCCAGTGTAACTAGGATGAGCATCCAACTAGCTAACCGATCTATAGTTCATCCTAGGGGCATAGTGGAAGACCTTCTGGTTAAGGTTGGCAGATTCTTTTATCCTGTGGATTTTGTTGTCTTGGACATCAATGAGGACACAGAAGTGACCCTTATACTGGGAAGGCCTTTCCTGGCCACCGCTAAGGCTATATCCATGATGGGACCTTAGTCTTGAGGGATGGCGAGGAGCGAATAACATTTTCCATTGCTAATACTCTCCTTGCTTCATTTCCTTTGCATACTGTTTCTCACCAGGAGCACGAGTCTGTCGTGTATCCTTCTGTGCTTCCCATTTTGCAGGATCCCTCTATCATATTTTCGCCGCCACTCCCGTCCACTCCATCACCAAAGGAAAAGATCAAGGAGGAGTGGCGGCCGAAACCGCAGGTAGCCAAGCCTGCTCAAAAGAAAGTCGGAGACCACTATGAGCTGGTCCCGCCTCCTGAGCCTCGACCTCCTTGGCCATCTGAGTATTCACTCGCTTGCATCCTGCCGGATGGCCAGGTCGAGTTGACGAGTGTTGGTGGTCACACTCGCAGTGTGCATGGCCACCACCTGAAGTTGTACCTCTGGAGCGATGTGGATCCGCTCTTGAAGGCACATGTTCCTTCACCTCTCTGAGCATCCACCCTACTGGCGTCCAGCAAAAAGACGGTAAAGAAGCGCTTGTGGGGAGGCAACCCCACCAAGGTTTGTTTTTTTTTCATTTGTTTTTCGGTTTGTCCACTTGGAACTGTGGTTTCTTTCCCCAGTGTCTGTCTTTTGATGACTTTAGCTCTGTGCCTTGGACTGGTCTGCCTTCCAGTCCCCTGCTATTGACTGGTCTGCCTTCCAGTCCCCGTTCCTGATCTCATTTCACGGTAACATTGTTCCCCTTCCCTCTGCTCCATTGAGGACACTGTCGCATTTAATTGGGGGGGGGGGGGGGGGGGGGGGGGGGGGGGGGTTCTTTGTATTCATTGGAACGTATATATGTGTGCTTGGAGCCTAGTCCGCTGTCCAAATCTCGAGATTTGAGGGCTCCAAGTACTGCTGTTTGCTTGATGTTTGCTCGTATTGGCACTGTGGATTTGATTGGTGAATCGAATGGCTTTCGAATTAATGCATGGCAACTTGATTGTAACTAGGACAGCCTATAATGATGACTGAGACGTGCAGTAGAACTCTGTAGGGGTTCAGTTTTTCAAAGTCATTTATGCATCTAGTTTATTGAATCAGAATGAGATATAGAGCATATAGGTAGCCATGTGAGATTTGAGCCTGCTCGTTTCTTTCTTGTGCGATAGTTCCCTCTTCCATGATGTGTAGCATTCACGTTGCCATTAGCTAAGATGATGGAGGCATAGGATTAGCCCACGACCAAATTGACTGTCCTGATGTGTCATACCCCCTAGTCAGCCCTTTGAGCCGTGTGCTATCCTTTCTTTCGGTCTAAAATGGAAAATCACCCCTTTGCATCTTTTACAAGGTTCCACGGAGTGGTTTTTACATGTTCTCTGTTGTTTCTGTTAAATACAATGTGAGAGTTGGAGGTAGTTCTTAAAAAAGTTGGGCATGTGTTTGAAAAATGTGCATAGGTGGTGGTTCTCTCAAGAAATGAAAAAAAGAAAAGAAAAAAAATGAATGAAAGCAAAAGAGAGCCACCACCACAAAATCTGAATAGTGCCCATTGAGTAGTGTTTATTAGCAGTGTGGTTTAGAAATACTAACATTTATGTGACCTCCTTCGCTCTTGTGCTCTAAAGAATGTGAGTAATGCAGTATGGCAGAAAGAAAGAGTGGTTTGATTGACTGTGATTGTGTTGGGTTTGGAATTGTGGAACCTTGTGCTATGAACACTTCCACTACCTAAAAGGTCTTTTCCCCATGTCCAAGACCCTAGCCAGTCATCTGAACCTGTGTCTAAGACCTCCGGATTAGTTAGTGATGACACCCGATATGTGAACTCTACACTCTTTACCTCGGTGAGGACCTAGATTGCTCGGTCTTAATTGTGATATCTTGAGATTTGTGCACGAAGTAACTGTCTCGAATAAGTGGTTAGTCAAATCCATGTTGGTTGGTGATCAGAAGGGAGACTCTTCCTTTGCTCGACTTTGCTGCACTTGAATGTCATCTGTGGTGGTTGTCTAGGTTGTCGTTGAGGTTGTCCATGTGTTAATGATCAAAAGGCAGTATGATTCACATGTTTTGTGCCGATATGACATGTCCCTAAAGCCTGCTTGATTAAAACGTTTTGAGCTTACCTTGTGTCTGACTGGGTTTGCTTGGGGACAAGCAAACGGTTAAGTGTGGGGGAATTTGATAACAATGTATTTGCACATGTTTGCAGCCTTAGTTCTTATCCGTTTGCGTCTAGTAGTCGTGTATTTTTTGCCCGTTTTACGTTGGGTTGTGCTACTTTGTCATATTTCAGGTCCCAGACGTCGAAGGAAAGGCTAAACACGAGATTCGGGGCGTTTGGAGGTCATTCGGTCGAGCTGGGGGAAAAAAAAGGGCAGGATGCCTGAAGAACACGGTCGTGTACACAAACAGGCACGCCAGTGTTTTTATGTGCGAGAGCTGAACTGATGGAAAAGCAAAACACGGGCTGGCCTAAAGAAAAACATGGTTGTGTCCATATTTAGGCACGACCGTGTTTTTGCCGACGCGGGCGTGTTTTTAACACGTGGCAAGGGCACAGACGGACAAAAGCAAAACACGGTCGTTCCCTCGACCGTGTTTTGCCCAGAATCGGGTTTTTGAGGCAGATTCGAGCCAAAGGAGAGGGAGTAGACTTTTTGGAGCAAAAACAGAGTTTTAGAGAGAGAAAGTGCGAAGAACAAACCCTAGGAGCTATTTGGAGTGAATTTCTCACCATTGAAGCCCAGATTGCATCCCCAGGAGTGAAGATTGACATCCCAGAGCAGATTCTTCCCATTGTTATGAGTATGACTACTTTGTATTTTGTTTCCCTCTCTCTCTCTATGGAGTAGAACTCTCTCTCACTTGGGTATGAAGAACCCTAGTTCCATGTGTTAGGAATCTTGATTGTAATTACGTTTGGATAGTGATATTGCTTGATTATAATCGATTGAAGTGTTTTGACTGAGTCAATTGAAGTTTGATCATCTTTTATTGATTTATGCTGCAACTTGAGATAGATAGAATCTGATTAGGTTGTTAGAGCTTCTTCAATTGGTAGTAGTGAATCAATTGTACGAGAGTTAGTCGATTCATTGCTTTGTACTGGAATCTAATTCCAGTAGTGGAGTTCTGTGTTCATTGCCTCAGCGTTCTATCCCGGTGAAAATTAGTCGTCTGCCGGATAGTTTGACTGAGAGGGCTTGGTCAGCTTAAGAGATTCCAAGCTACTGTCGGATCTTCCGCAGTATAATCAGCAGTAAAGCAACCAAAAGTAATTATAACTGTGACCTGACTAAGGAGCTAGGGGGACTCATTCCCGAGTGACTCTTCCCTTGCTTTAGAAAACCGAACCATTTCCTGCTTTCTTACTGCTTTTAGTTAAAATCACAATCACTCGACTTAGTTTGCTAGATAATAGTTAATCACGGAGTAGGCAGTAGATCTAGACTCCGGGTTGACAATTAGAGCTTGCATGTTACTGCAATTCCGGACTGCGATTACACTTGGTCGCAATTTGGTGTTGTGTTTTAGCGTGTCAGCTAGTTGAGAGGCAACTCAACTACAACCGTTTGCATTTTGTTTGCTTTCAATAGGACAACCTTTGGGAGCTTGTGGTGTTTGGATGTTGCCTTTCAATAACCCAACCACTATTTATAATATTTCAAATTATTTAAAAGTATGAATAAATTAAGCAGCATGAATAATAAAAAATGAAATAAAATCCACCCAACTAACTCATTAGGTAAAAACTAGAAAAACATTTATGCGGAGGAAAAAATTTGAGAGAGGGAAATGATAGGAAAATGTTGTTTATTGGGAAAAGTAAAAAGTGAAAAATGAGTTGGTAAGGTGTAAATTATGAAAATAGTAATTTTCTAAACTAAAAAAACTAACAACATAATAAAAGGGAATAGAGAATATATACTAGAAAAACCTCACCTTTCTCTCAATTTGGATGGTTGGGTGTTGAACAGTAAAAAGAGAAAAATTTTCATATCTCTCACTTCCTCTCCATTCTAAAACAAAGAAAAATTTATTAGAACATGTGTTTTCCCTTTGATTTTTCCTCCCCTCCTTTTTACTTGCAATAAATAGAGGGTTATTATAAAAAACAAAATAGAGGGTTTGGGATTTCTTTGATTTCCTCAATAAACTATTATAAAAAAAAAATTTGAACTTGCAAATTTACGACCTTTTAGGGGATTAAATACAATATTGTATAATCAAACTAAAGAGGCATGAAATTCTAATAATTCAAAGTCTTACTGCATCGTATTCACTTTATGAGCTCATATATAGTAATACATGTTTTGAACAAATCACAAGATGATATTCAACGAAAAAAAAAATCACAAGATGACAATGATAACAAAATACAATTTAGATTGTTTGGTTAATGTACTTGAGAAAGTGATATGTAATAACAAACAACCAAGCAAATAAATCATTTTGTAAAGAGTAGTTTTAGAGTACGATATCTTCATCACACGACTTCTTTATCATAGGCAATCCTCAGACGCGCAAGCACTGGATTTCGCAGCGAACCTTCCAAGTCCGGGTACAAGGAACCCCACAACGCGGCGAAGCTAGCTTCACGATATACAGCTGGATATTTTTCAGACACCAATTCCTTGATTGGGCCATACATCTTTGTTGACATTGTGGAAAAATCGATAGGAGGCATGAAAAAGCAGGCCACCGATTGTCTAGGAACAATGGCATTCGCAAACACTTTGTGCTCTGCACTCTTCATTTTATTGTTGCTCAATAGCTGGGGACAATTAACAAATAAAATGCAATATTGATTAGCTAGAACATCGAGTAGGTGATTTATATGATACGATTCACCATGTTGTTATATATATTACTAAAATAATAAGGATGTGTTATTGTTAATATAAAATGCATTTTATGTCCCAAACGGTTTTTTACTTTAAATCTAAGTCCAAAGATTGGATTGGATTGTTTACTATCCGGTCCCGGTCCGGTCTCGGTCCGGATTATACGGTCTGGTTTCGGGTAAAACCAAAAAACCCGGACCAAATAGCCAGCTCTAATTCCACCTTGCTCTTGGAATTAAAATCATGAATTCAAAACCCTATTTTTTTTCTTTGATGGCGACAACTTCCACGAATTGTTTTTATGATTGGGGTATTATGACCATGCAAATACTTACCTCAACGCATCTCGACTTAATTGCTTATGACAACGTTCCTTCACTCCAAATCATAATGGTGTCTCTCTTAGGTACTAATTATCATATAGCACGATCGATGTGCATGGGCCTCCGTTTGAGAATTAAGCTCCTGCGGATTGATTCAGCCCATGAGCTTTCATATTACGATGATTCTTCTAGAAGGCATGCGATCAAACAACGCTCTCGTTCATGGTTGATCAAGTCATCTATGTCATGGATGATGTCTCAAAGTGTCTTCTAGTTTGAAACGACTATCGAAGTATGGGAAACGTGTGTTTATGTTACATACACTATGGTCGTATCTATGCGAAGCATGATTAAGTGACTAGATTTCTCAAATTACCGACTGAGAATTTCTCTAATCTTTATGCTCAATTTGGGTGATGTAACCGTTTCCTCGTGCAACAAAGTTGTGTATCAGAATTTTTTGGTGATGATACTTCTTGGCTTTGAGGTGGTTTGGGTCAGTCCCCAATTCTTCCACGTATTATAGAGCCCTCTACAGGCCAATTACGTAAGGGAATAAGTGGGTGGAAAGACTACTTGAAAGCTTGGAAAGCAGTGATTAAGCATTGAAGTCTTTTCAAACGGAAAGAAATAAATCCAAATACACTAGCTAACCAACTGAGAGATTAATTAATTGCTTCTTGAAAGGCTTGTGGCCAAGGTTGTCAAACCGGTTTATGCCGGTGCGCCGGTTTTGTAAGTGGAATGGTCTGACCGTGGTACAACCAGTATTCATGCCGGTTGTGCCGGTTTTAATAAAATACATGAGGAAAATGGAAATCCTCAATTCCAAATAAATTAGTCATAAAAAAGCAATTAGAAGAATTATTTCACACAAAATAATTTATAGCTAAGAATTGGTAACTAATACTAAACAATTAGATGCTTAAAAATAAAATTTTATTTATGTTTATAATGATTTCTGTAAAATTTAGTATTAGATATATAACATATAAGGTTAATATAGACAACAAAATTGCTTGTAATATACTGGTGTATAAGTTAAACTAAAATGAACAAGAGGTTATTGGTTCAAATCCTATGGAAGATGTTTATTTTTGGATATAATATGGGTAACATTAAATTCCGGTTTCTGGTCTAACCGACCGGAATTCCCGGATTTGACCGGATCTGACCAGCATTGATCGGATTTGACCACAGTTAAATACCGGCCCTTTCCAGCCGGTTTGCTGACTGGTACCGGTTGAACTCGGTTGAACCGGCCGGCATGAAACCGGTTTGACAACCATGCTTGTGGCCTTTTTCGTCTTTGAGTAAGGAACCTTTGTCTTAGTTCACTAACCCTTGCCCATGCGCACATTCATTTGCATAATTCTCACCAAAGGCTTCCTCAAGATAATGCTTTATGTCGATCTAATGTGCCTATGAGATGTCCTGACTTAATGATGTCTCCACTCTCAACAAGATTGTTGGCTTTCTTATGACAACTTCTGCGACTTACATGCACTCGGTTATCTTAAGATCAACCAGACTTACAAACTTCAATGAAGCAATGCGCTACGCCTATAGGCTTCAAGAGAAGAAAAGCTCTATTGGGTCCAACAAACTTATTCGACTCCTCATTGAACAATGCAGTAGTTCGCTACAAGTTCCAACGCTTCCGTACAACTCAACTCCTCGAATAGCTACAATGATATAACAAGGTCCAATTCAGGTACCTGACAACAAAAATCCATATAGTGCAGGTACTAAATTCCTCTTTCACTTGAATTTTGAAATCCGACTCACTCCCGACTACCTTTTCTTTTGACCCTACGCCCGCTTAGAAGTGGATTCAAACCACGAACACAAAGATTTTCAGTCCTTTGCTCTAACCAGCTGAGCTACCTGAACAACTTTCCTAAAGTATGTTTTCTTCATCGAATAGCGCCCTATCTTACCACTTTACTAGTAATGGAAATTTCTTTTACTAAAAAAAGATATATAGGCAGTGGCGGATACATGCATGGTTAGGGGTGTACGGGGACCCCCCTAAAATTTGGAAACACGATTATTCAACCTACGATAGTAATTTGCGTATGAAAAAAATGTTTAAGTGGTAATGTGGGATACCTTTAAAATTTGGGGAAACGATTATCCAATCTCCCGTAGTAGTTTGCGTATTGGTATAAATCATATTTAAGTAGTATTTTATGTGATTTAAATTTGGGACACTGCCACTATTAGTTAATATATTTCCAATTACGCTACAACTCATTTTTTATTGTATTTTAGATCCAAATATCATAGTAAAATGTTATTCTTATTCAAATTATTTTCAAAACCTAACGATTAAACTCAATTACGGAATATCCTTGTCTTGTAAGATATGTCGAGAGATATTTGTTGAGCAGTATAAACACCGAATGCATTTTATCATTTGATGAAACATGTCTGAACTTTTAATGAAATTTTTATCAGTTAAATATTTTCATATTTAATAATTATTTAATTTAATTCCAATATTTAATTTAATTTAATTTAATTTTTTATAGAGGACATCCCTACGTAGAATTTCTGGATCCGCCATTGTATATAGGGCTCTCTTTTTTCCGCTTGTTCGTCAAGCTTTCGAATTGCTCTTTCAACTGCCGCCTAATCTCACAACATGCTCAACAACCAGTTTCGGAGGGAGCCTGCTTAAAGAAGATAGGTTGGTCAAAGAAAAAGAAAGCTATCTCAGTCGATCACCTAGTCACTAAGTAGTGCCTTTCGAGGGACTCCACCAAGAGGTTATTTTTCTCCGGAGGAAATGGGATTTGAACCCATGATTCCCAGCCCTACATACCACCCTAGTGAACCACCTTGTGTGATATGGAGACATCAAGCAGTGAGCTGGATGTCAGAAAGAAAAGGAGCTGGAACCGAAGCCTATAAATGCGGCTCATATTTTCAACCATAAGCCAAAATGGTCCCTCGGGTAGAATGACAACCAAATTGGTAGCTTAGGCGTTGTTTTCTCTTTTGTCCTCCTTTTTGCAGAGCATAGGTAGACTTGTCTTTGACTAATGTACTTCATATATATTCTGTATCCATGGGTGGCTAGTTAGATAGTTGTGTAATTTTTCTAATGCTAAAGGTTCCTTAGACAATTTATTAGTCGATTCTTTATTATATATATAGCATGTTTAATTGTTTCATCTCATTATGTTTATTGTCTTTGTTTCAATTTTTATATGTGTTCGTTTGGGTGGACTGTAACAAGGAAACCATGGGATTGAGTGCACACCAACGACAATACACGACTAGCTAACCAACATATGCGATAGGATAATCGTGACAAGCATGATGGGTTGGCTGACCCGCATGTCACCCTACTCCATCTTTATGTTAAAGGTTAACTATGGGTTGACTGTTATTCTTTATTCATTATATATAATATGTTTGATACATTAAGAGTATATTTTTTTCTCATGTAATGATGATGTTATGTTATCTTGGTTGCACGATTAATCAATTGAGAAAATCGAATACACTTTAGTTTGGTTGATTTGGATATTTTCATTAATTCGATCATTTTGGTTAGTATATTGTATTGTATGGTTATTAAAAGGACTAATCTTTTTGAACCCAATCAATAGAATAGAGGTTATATATAAAAAGTTATACTGATCACGTTACGTAAATAATCTTCTACGAAAAATTCAAGATCTCCTAAGAATATGGTCTTCCTAGTTCCTATAGTATAAGTTGTAACCTTGTTATATATCTCGCAAAAAAAAGTTGTGACATTTTTAGGCTGAGAAATATTGAGGTCTAAAGTCCAGCACACCCTAATAAATTTCTATAAAGCACAAAAAAGGAAAAAGATAACCTTTTAATTAATTTGCTAACCTGTAGCATATTTCCAACATTGACAACTAGTGCGCCGTGAAGTGAAGGAACATCAACCCAATCGGCAGCCCCTTCGTGGAAAACTTGTAGCCCTCCAACCTGGTCTTGAAGTAAGATGGTGAAAGTAGAAGTATCGAAATGTGGGTTTGCTGCTATTGCAACCTCCGGCTCCGGACACGGTGGATAGTAGTTGAGAATCGCGGTTGTAAGGTTCGTGGAAATAAACTCATTTGTATTTGGCGTTAGTCCCAGGGCTAGAGAAAGTAACTGCGACAAGGTTTCGCCTAATTTCCGGATACGACCAATGAAAATTGTTGCAGAGTCCCTACGCATATCAACAAAACCAACATGAAGAGGAACTTGACATAGATATTATATGACTTAATGAAATAATTTGTGAATACAATTTTTTTTAAAACTGAAAGATAGAAGGAAAGAGAATAATGGTTGGGGTTACTAGCCAATATCGAGATATCTTGAGTACATACACTACACGAATGTGACTTAATCACAGAAAATCATGTGTTCAATGGTTTTAGTCACAGAAAATTTACCGTATATATATTTTCGTGTCTAGTTATAACTAGTCACGGTACAATTACCAGTGGTAATTTGCAACTATTTATCACAAGATACCGTAGCCAAATTGACTTAGTGAAATGCATAGAAATTATACTTTTTTATTTATACGGATTTTATAATCATATAGGGCTAGCTAGTTTGTCTGGGTTCTTCAGTATAACTGTAAAGCAGATTGTTTAAGACCAGGACCGGATGTAAAATTATCCAATCACGTCTTTGATCTCAGAATTAGAAAAAAATTCTAGACCATTCCAGTCTGAGTTAAAACTGTGTCAAAACCGAAAGACCAAATAACTAAAAAACAAACAAAAGGCAAAGCTCGCCTAGACACAGAGGCAAAGCGAACCAGGGTTGATGCGAGCCTAGTGCCACTCCCCTGAGCGGCCCAAGTGAGCCCACTATGTTCTATAGGGTTGTAGGCTGAGTCCCTCTCTATTCCATCGCAAAGCCACCAATCCATTTCTCTCCCAAATCCCAATCGCAAACAGCAGCTGTCGACTGTCATCCTGAACCCCCTAACCCTAAAATCGATCAGCGACTGCGCCTCCGCTACGACCCAGCGACCGCGACCACCGACCAGCATCTCGTCGCCTATGCTCCTTCTTAGATCTCTCCGTTCCGACCAAACGACTAGATCAACATCTTGTCATCGACCCAACGGTCGTGACCAACATCTCGTCCACAGCTCGTCTCCCTCCGTCCTAGATTCATCGCCCTCCATCCATATCTCGCCGCCCTCTGTTGAATAGCAGGTACCGGCCGCCAAAAAATGAAGGAGAGAAGCAGTAAGGTGAGTTACTAAGTTTAATTGTAATTAGTTTTATTTTCTTAGTTTATTAGTGATGAATTCAAAGGTGAAATGTGATGAACTAGGCTGGTCAGTTTATTGTTGATTAGTTTTTGTTTGTTATTCAATGGATCGGATAAGGGGAAAAAGTGAATTTTCTGATATTGATTGAATTTTGTGGTGCAGGGTAGTAAGAAGCGAGTAACGGTTCAAGAGGAGGTGATAATTTGTGTCCTCTTCCTAGTAAGAAGCGACCACAATCAGAAGCTTCAAAGGAAGCTATTGAAAGTGGTAACAACAGTGGTAATATTAATGTTCAAGCCGCAACAACTCAAGAACAAGAATCGGCAGCAGCTACCAGCACCACAACACTTGGCATAGAGAAGACTAGTAGGGAGTATACGTTAAGATGACATGTGTGGCAACATTATGATCGTTCCAAAGATGATCAAGGCAAGAAGAAGGCAGGGTGTCATTACTGTGGCAAGTCATTGGCTGGGGAACCCTCGGAAATGGTACAAGTTCTTTGGGTAGGCGTACTGAAAGTTGTATAAAGAAACAACAACAAAAGGGGAAGCAGTAGAATCTAGAACTCAATCCAAGTTCTGTTGAAGAGCAAGAAGTTTTGGGGACTTGGAAATTTGATCAAGCATTATTGTCAGAGCTAGGTTAGTTGAAATGATAACTCTGGATGAAATGCTTTTTAGGATCATGGAGAAAGAAGGATTTAAGCGCTTCATGGCACATGTTTGTCTGACGTTTAAGAATCCTGGTAGAAAAACAATTAGAGAAGATTGTTCCTTGAACAGAAAGACAAGTTGAGAGATTACTTCAAGATCAAATATAGAGGAAGTGTGTCCATAACTACTTATAGTTGGACTTCTTGTCAAAATTTCAATGATATGTGCATCAATGCACACTTTATTAGGAAGGATTGTAAGTTGTACAAGAAGGTGATAAGTTTTTGCAAGATTACAAGTTATAAGGGGATTGATCTAGGTGATGCAATAGTTTGGAGCATTGGGGTTTGTAAAAAAAATTATAGTCACAGTTGGCAAAGCAAGTGAAAATGACATGGCACTTCTTCATTTGAGAGATCGACTTAAAGATTTGGGGTACTAATATAGTTAGTGGAAAGTACCTACACATGCGGTGTATCGCTCATAAAGTGAATTTGATTGTGATTGATGGTTTAGAAGAGATGGGCATGTCGATAAGGAGGGTGAGAGAGGCTATTAGATGGGTTAGAGCATCACCTTCTAGATTGACAAAGTTCAAGGAGTGCGTGGAATTTCACAACATTGAATCCAAGAAGTTGTTTAGTCTATATGTGCCTACAAGGTGGAATTCCACCTACTTCATGCTTGAAGTAACTGTTGAAGATGCATTCTCTAGTATTTAGAGGAAAGATAAGGATTACAAGCCCGAGTTTAAGGCAAAGAGTTACAAGAATCAAGAAATTGGTGTCCCTCAAGATGAATATTGGAAGAATGCAAAAGCTTTGATGAAGTATTTGAAATTCTTTTATGGCTTGACTTTGATTTCATCCACTACTTCTGTTGTGACTACTCATCGATTCTTGAGAGAGTTTGCAAATGTATTCTATCATGTTGAAAAAATGATGAATAGCACAGATGATGACATAGTTAGGATGGGTATGAAGATGAAGGCTAAAGTTGACAAGTATTGGTTGGAGAAGGATTGTGTCAACTTAGGATTGAACAAGTTGGTTTACATGGCTGTGGTGTTTGATCTTAGGCATAAGATGAAATATTTGGATCATATTTTCAAGAAGATGTGTGGATAGGATAGGGCAGCTAGTGATTATGATAAATCTGATGATGAGTATGATGTTGATGATGATTATAGAAGACCTCAACCTGGCAATACTAAGACTAAGCTAGAGAAGTATCTTGCTCATCCTCTAGAATATGATGATGCCGAAGAATACTTAGATGTGTTGAAGTGGTGGATGAGGTATCCCATCTTGAGTGAGAAGGCAAAGGGTCTATTTGTTATTCCTATGTCTATCATTCCTTCCGAGTTTTTTTTAGCGCAAGTGAGCGCATTTTAGATGAATTTAAGAGCTCTTTGCATCCTAATATTGTGAAAGCTCTCAGATGCAGTCAAGAAGACTTCGTGAGTGGTAAGTACAACACTTTATTATAGTTTTTAGTTTTTTTCCATGTAAATTCTATTGGTAACCATTATATTTTATTTATCCATGTCATTTAGTTTACAATGCTATTATGGTGGATGAGGAGGAAAGGCATGAACATGAGCATGTGAGTGGACACGAAGGTACAAGTACGAGCAATATCGGAGGAAGTGATGAGTTTGGCTCGAAGAGTGGAACAAATCAAGGAGGTGGATATAATGCTTCATTTATTTCTCTTGAGTCTGAAGAGTAGAAATGGTTTGGTGAACTTGTTAGATTGGAGTGGATTCTGTGTTTAATGGCTAAACTTTGATTGTGATGCACTTTATTTTTAATTTGAAGTTTGAATTGGACTTTGATTTTGTAATAGACGGCAAGGATGTTTGTAATTTTTTATTAGACCATGTTTGGCTTGCTTTTTTCTACAAATGATGCACAAACAAATTGTCTACATTCCAGGAAAAGGGGTATATGCTGCTGAATTCTCTGCAGCTGACAAACAAGTTGTCTACATTCCAGGAAAATGGGTATATGCTGCTGAATTCTCTGCAGCAGGGCAAAATAGGTCAAAACCGGATTGAGACGGATCGGGTCAAAACCGGACTGTACCCAATCCAATCTTTGGTCCCCATATTTTCAAAAAGACCGGACTGGAACTGGATCAATTCGGGTCAGTTTAACCGCTGGACCGAATAGCCACCCCTAATCATATATAAGGGTTTTTATTTAAATTATACTTTTTGTTTCATGAAACTACATGTATTACTTTATATAAATCTCATATGAAGAGAAATCCATGAAACATAGGAACAATTATAATTTAACTGAAAATACACATTTTGGGGTGAAATGGAGAAGTTCCTGTAACAACTCTAAATTTAAATGTGCTTATGATGAAGGATTGCAGAGATAGGTAACCTCTTACAAAGTAACCATGATGCACCCAAAATCAAATATGTATGACGCTAGACTCAAGCCGAACAATTTTTTTATCAGAAAAATTATTGGCATGTTATATGTGGTACCATAGCATTTTTGCACCCAAAATCAAAAGTAACCATTCAACTTTAATTGAAAAAACGCATTTGGAAAGTAATAAAGGGAGTTTATTATAAACTCAAACTTTAAAACGTGTTAAGTATGGAGTGAGAGAGCACTAAATTCAAACCTGCCAAGTATTCATAAATGAAAGGATTTTTCCAATGATCCCATAACTTGTAAAGGTGATTTTCTTACTATTGATTAAAGTACCTGCAAATGATGGGCAGGTGATCTTGTGCATCCGATGGCGCCGGCGTCATGAGCAAAGTGTCCGCCCAATTCAAGCTGCTTCTCCTTACGGCTCCGTATCCGCTAGTAAACCTAGCCTTCTGAGTTACGTCGCGGCTGTAGTAAGCCTGCTTCAACTCCGTGGGCTGCTCGTGGAACTGACGCGCTTCGGCCATCATGTCCTCCATCACGCTCTCTTCCACTCCATGATTTACCAACTGGAACATACCCAACTCGGCCGCAGCGCGTCGGATCTCCTCCACCACGACTGCGCGTCGGCTCTCCAAGTCCTTCATGTCGATCACCGGCACGGCGAAGGGACAAGGGGATTTGCTGCGGGTGGTGCCGTATTGGGAAGCGGTCTGAGGCGACAGCCGGAACAGCTTCGGCACCGTGGTGATGCCGGAGTCGACGAGGCCCTTCACGCCGCCCTTTGTCTCGTCGAACAATCGAGCCGCCTCTTCACTGTCGGCGGCGTTTTCATAGTAGAAAGAGTTGACGGAGGAGGCGGCCATAGGTCACTCGTAGGGTAATTAAGAAACTAAATATTGGGAAATGGGATGTTGGGATGCAGGAATAGCAGGCAACTAATTGCTGGATAAATATACATTCCACGTACGTAGCCCAAGAGGCATATTCGGGATTTGTGAGTAAAATAAATAATCAAATGGCAGTTCAGTTATTTCGGTTATAACCGGTAACCGATCGGCTCGTTATCGGTAAACCGAAATAACCACTCCCCCTACCGAAAATCGTCTGAAATAGGCTTCGGTTTTTCAGTTATCTCGGTTATCGGTTAATCAAACCACTTATAAGACCAAAAATCATTTCGTCCAGCCTCCGATAACTGACCGAAGTTCGGTTACTGATTAGTGGATAACCGGCCGGTTATCGGTTTAACCGATCTGTTAACCGATAACCGGTAACCCAACTGCCATCTGCCGTACTCCTCGTTATTTCCAAGCTGACTTTATTGGAACAATGTAGTTAACCTTGGCCATTCCGCTGGCGGCAAGGGTTTCTTTCAAAGAGGAAACGAAGATCCAAGAGTTGGCGCGTTTCGCATCTGGATTGTCCTTTTCCTGTTATTATTATTATTATTATTATGACAATGTCCTTTTCCCGTTGGATAGAGTATTGCAAGCTTATCTGTGATGAGCATCCGATTGACCAGGACAAAGACTAATGAAGCTGCTTAGAGGGCACAGCTGAGGGCGTTTATTCGGCTTTGCCACTTGGCACTGGATGTCGGGAAGAGGGAGCTGGTCGCTAATGTGCTGAGGGAGTTGGTCGCCTAGTTTTCTTCCTTATACTAATGAGGCTAGATCGCAGTAAAAGATCACATATCTTTTAATGAGGTTAGATTGCAGTAAAAGATCACATTTTTTTTTTAAAGCAATTCTACTAATATTTAAAGTATTGGTGGTTTAAATTACAATTTGAAGTTAGTAACATAATGTTAAAAATAAATGTCAGCGGGGAGGTAAAATGCCAATTTAAGACGTGGATGCTTTTATTGGACCTTCTGCATCCCAATTGGTTTATTTGGACCTAAAGTTTAATTACTTTGTTTTCATTGGGATGAATTTTGACTTAGACATTCTCCATGAACTCGTTTATTTGGAGACATAATCGTAGTTGATTTCGTGCACCCACGACCATTCATCCGAGCTCATTAAACTGTTGCTCAAATCCAACATTTGCTAATCAAGTACCATCTCACTCTCGCTTATTCCACAACGCAGTGGTAATTAGTTTCGTGCACCTGCGACCACTCCTCCAGGCCCAGCACAGGGCCAAACATTTTGGGGCCTCTATCAAATATTAGACTTTGTAGTGGATGTGAGCCTTAATTAAATTATGGGCCTACTATGCATGGGCCACGGAAAAAGGATTGACAGTGTGGTTGTTAGTGTTAGACTTCTTTCCATTAAGCCTATGATAATATAACTCCGGCCTTGAACAATAATTAGTTTTAATTACATGTGGGCCTCAGCTTTGCTCTTCTCGCTAGGAGTTTTTTACTGGAAATTATTTTGTTTCATCAATTAGTTAGACTGCTTGGAAAGTGGGGGAAGTAAATAGTTGCATAATTATTAATTACCAACTGCTAAGAGAGGAATTAATGGATTTCTCAATTAATTATGTTGGCGTTGGCTTACAATGGCTATTTAAAAAAATTTATTATTAAAATAATTAGTATCAATAGACTAATGTATTTGAACTCTCTGTAGGTAGATTCATAACAATTATAATTGCCAAATTACATTATTCTTTCTATACTTCTTTGAACGCCAAATCTGCCTTACATTATTGTCTGGGTATGCACAATCCCTTACATATTTACAAATCTTGAAAGATGGCTAATTTATACACAACTTAATACCCAAGTATCATGTCATAGATGATTATCATGAACGTCGTTCATTAATTTGAAGGAATATATATGTGCAGGATGATCGATAATCTTCTATTCTATGATTTTCTTCACCTTGTAATCATCTCTTTTATGCTCTTCTCTGCTACATCCATTTTCTGCTTTTCAATTCTCATTTTCATCTAAAAAGGTATAAAGAGACAACCTTCACCTGTAAAGTAAATTATAAAATCTATAAAAAAAATCATAAAATGCAAATGTACGTACATAAAGAGACCGTAAAGATAAAGAAATGTCCACTTCCTAATGTAAGAAGGTTTAACCATATGTAACTATGTGCTCACATCCTAAGATTCTAACTCAATAAACCATTGAAAAAATAAAGAGATTACACTTATATGAAGTACTAAATCCATGTCAATATATTTCACCATCTCAAGCACTCAACCCATATTAATAAGAACTCAAATCCACGACTCTGCACTGTTTTCTCTGTAATATGATTAAGGGTAGGTTTGGATAGCTGGATTTGTAATTGGATTTTGTATTTGAATTTTAAAATTCCAAATTTTAGCGTTTGGTAGGCCAATGAATTTAGTATTTGAATTTGGGCAAAATCCATCCTGTATTGCGGCCTTCAGAAATAAGAATATTTCAAATACGCGCTGGACGGTACTGATTCTAAAATACAATCCGACGACTGAAGCCTTGTTGTAGTCCAGAGGCAAATCGTTCCCTTCGCCGCCATCTCGCTTCATATTCTCATTTCTCATCCACCATCCTTCGTGTTGGCACCGTAATCACTCCCCCTCATCGATGACTACTAGCTTCCTAACATCCTTAACCTGACTCGATTCGGCCTCCAGAACACCGATTAATCTTTTTCTCCTTACCCACCGCCACTGCCCACTGCCCTCCATCCGCAACCAACAGCTCGCCTGCCCTCCACCGACTACCATTTGCTCGTTTCCCTTCTTCGTGTTCTTCGAATCTTGGAGGTAAGTGAGATTTCGTACTTTGGACTTATTTGCTACTCGCTTGATACAGCTTCTGAATACTAAACTTCCAATACCCAAACCCTTAATGCGCATATCTGACCATCAACTTCGTTTCTTATCTAGCGGGTCACTACCCTCCATCGGCGACCACTAGCTTGCCTGGATGCTGCGATTTTTTGCTACTCAAGGTAAAATGATTGCTGAATGTTTCAATTTGTTTGCTACTCTAGGTTCATTTGATTTTGCTTCTACAAACTAAGTTTTCACCATCCCAACCCACCTGTGTTCTCACCTTGGGCTTCAATTTGCGAGTTGGAAGTTTGTCCTTCTGTTATAGCCAATTTTGATCCTTGCTCATACTATTTGTTCTAACTTTGAATGGGTTTATGAGTTTTGGGCGTTTGGGTTGTGGATATGTGTTTTCGGTTTCTTATTGTGTGTTTGTCTGCGTATTATTGAAACCTTTAATTGTACCTCAACTTAGCTTGTACTACCTAAGGATGCTGGAAGAGATTTGCTCCAGGATTGATCTCGATCAAAACTCGGTTGGTAACTGGGGCAACTCCAGATATGGTATTTTATTCTGTGAAAGTGCTTCAAAATCAAATAAATAACAAGTGAGATGATTATCTCCAGTGGGTGTTCTGTAATCTCAAAAAGTTGCATAGGCTTGGATCACTAAAAGCTAATCCATCTTGATAAGGAATGCCTCTGATCGTAGTTGGGGGACCTACATATGTTGCTTCTACTCCATGAAGTGGTATATAATTCCCTCTTTGTGTTGTGTTGAACTGTTGCTATGCTTGTTTGGTTTCTTCTTTGTTTGGGTAATGTATTTTTGTTTTCCCGTTCATTGTTGTGTCGTGTTGAACTGTTACACCTGGTGAAAAAAGAAACCAAATGACACAGTTAAACAACCCCTAAACTGAGATGTCAGCTTCTAGTTTGAATATGAGCAGTAGTTATGCCGACTTCAATTTGGTAGTCTGCAGGACATATCCCACCTTTACTTCTTGCTAGATTGTATGTCCATCAGTCTATACTCTATATATATGATCATTTTGAGAAATGAGTTGCAGGAGTTCCATAGCTAGACCCACCATAGTAGTCTAATATATATAGTGCCAATTAATCTTTTAGGTTGTTTGCTTGTTCTCCTTTTTTTAGTTACAGTGTGACCTGTTTTCTACTTATGTCTAATCAACTTTGGTTCTTACTTCTTGACGGGATCTTTCTTCCTTTAACTTTACCCGCCGAAGACGAGTCTAGATATCGAAGTAGAAAAGGCAAGATTAGTACAAATTTTTTGGCTGTTTGTGATGCTAATATGAGGTTCACTTATGTTCTGCCCGGTTGGGAGGGATCAGCTTCCGATTCTCGAGTGTTGCGTGATGCTCTATCACGGAAAAATGGTCTTAAAGTTCCTAAAAGTAGGCTTCTGTGAACTCTATCTAATGTTCTTTGGGTATTATCTATTAAAGATTACTTAATGATTCTGTTTTTCTTTCTTATTAAATTTGTAGATAAGTACTATCTTATGGATGGGGGATATGCCAATGGGCCTGGTTTCTTAGCTCCTTATAGGGTGACTCGATATCATTTACAACTTTGGCGAGGGAAAACTCCTCAGAACTATAATGAGTTATTTAACCATAGGCATTCCTTAGCTAGAAGTTACGTTGAAAGGGCATTTGGATTGTTGAAGAAAAGATGGGGCATTTTGCGTGCAGCTGGCTTTTATGACGTGAAGAGTGTCCTCATGATGCACTATTGGATGAAGTAGATCAAGAGTTGGAAGATGCTTTAGATAACGATTCATATGACTCTGATGAAGATGAAATCACAGCAATGAGGGCAACCAATGAGTGGACTTTATTTAGAGATAATTTAGCTAAGGAAATGTTTGAACAATATAAAGCAATTCTCGCTCGGAGAGCTCGGAGTTACTTTTGTATTTTCTGTTAGATATGCCCTTGTAACTGGAATCAACATTGCTCTTAGTTATTGTTTGTCTCGGTAATGAAATCAACATTGCTCGTACTTATTTATTATTTTGTGCTGCAGCTTTGGCTGGATTTCCTTGTGTTAGATCCTTGTTTCCAGGTTCTTTTAAGAACCTTCACAATTGATTCTGTATGGTTTGGTACCCTGCTGGTTTACTCAGTTTGTAGCCTTAATCAAGTGCAGTAAATTCTGCAGCAAACAGTGCTGCAAATTCTGCAGCAGACAGTTGGTTCTGTATGACATTTGTTGTTTCTATATCTATACTACTGGTGTATGCTTGCTTGTACACTGATCAACTCAATGTTTATGAGGTTTGTTGCACAGTGATCAGGTATAAAGTGATTGAAACTCTTGCTGGTTATTGTCAGTACTTGATTTCATAGTCAGGTTATTTACTGCATTGATTTATTTATAGAGTTTGACCAAGTCTAGTAGCTATTTATGTTTCATGGTTCATTTGTTTGAGTGGCCTGCTGAAGTGATCTGCCTGTTTGTTCTTATTGTTGTAGGAATGAAGCGACAAGGAAGTATTTTACCCGGTAAATCTCGTGTTTATCTCCAATGGGATTCACAGATGGACAAGATTTTAAGTCGGGTGTTACTGGATCAAATAGTTCAAGGAAATAAGGGTGATGGAGACTGGAAGACGCAAGCATACCAAGTAGTTGTGGATCAACTTCGCACTGACTTGGAAATCAATGTGACTAGAGATAATGTCAAGAACTGACTTCGCGCATGGAAGAAACGCTATGCAGTGATAGCTGATATTCAAAAGCGAAGCGGATTGAGCTTGTGGGATGAAGATAAGAAGATGATCGTAGTTATAGCTGATAATATGAGTGATTCGCAATATTATTGCAATGTAAGGGTTTTTTTTCCTCTTATGCTATATTGTGAAGGTTGGATTTAAGTAGAAGGAGAAGGAAATGGTACAAGGCAGGGGTGTATTTTAGCTCTTTAAGATGAGAGCCCCAGCCTGAAAGTTCAGTTATGCATGTTCCTCTAGAATTTGTGTCTTGTGTAGTGGATTCTTTGAATAGTGGTGTAGTTGGCCGGTAGTTTCCTTATGGTTGTTTTGCTTCTTTCAATCCATGATGTCTATTTGTCCTGGGACTGCAGGGAAATTTTAATGAGTTATGTGGGGTTAACAATAATGTCTTTGAGGTTGCTTTTTTTTGTAGGATCACCCTGATGCACGTTCTTATGCGAACACATATATCAAGAATTGGGATGATCTAGTCTTGTTGTGTGCAAAAGATAGAGCTGTCGGATCAACGTCTACTTTTGACAACTCAAGTGCACATGGCTCAAAATCTCAAGGGAGGAATCCTATTGGCGAAGTTAGTTCAGAATCGCGAAAGAGAGCTAAGAAGGACAGTCAAGTTGGTATGGTAGCTAACTCATTAAGTAGCTACTTGCAAAGTAAGAAGAAGGAAGAAGAACCAAGGTATACAGGGAAAGAGATCTATGATGTGATATGCGAGATACCGGGGTTGACGCATGTGGAGGTTGCCAAAGCCGTGATGAAGTATCGATCTGGTGATCCTGAGCAGTTCAAGTTGCTGCTGGAAATTCCAAAGGAAGATAGAAGAATCTTTGTTGAGTGTTTTCTTGGTGAGCCTTAGTTGCCTTCGCTTTGTAGAGTCTGAAACTTTGAAGACCCGCCTTTTTGGTAGATGAATGATTGACATTTCTAGATCAATCTATTACTCACAAGCTATGTTCAGAATTTGGAAGGAGGATTATATGTAGCCAAGCTTTAACCTTCTCAGCAGTAGCTCTAGTAGTCTCTTTTTTGTTTTATTGACCATGTTATTTTTTATTGTGCAGTAGTCATTGGTGCCATTTTCCTCTGGTTTTGTCGTAAGTGTAGCGTGACCAAAAGTGAGCAGAATGAGTAGGTATGGAATTGTAAGGGGAGAGTTGTCTTTCTATATATAGTGAAGTGATTTTTTTCATGGAGTGAAGTGATTAAGGAGATCACTGTATGTGTTAGTGCTATTAAAAAGCAAATTAAAAAATAATTAGTTGAAATACCTAAAAGTTGCAACTATATATCCAAACGGTAGAATTTACATCTTTGAAATCATGTATTTGAAATACACATCTATCCAAACGATGAATTTTAAATCATAAGTATTTCAAATTCATACATTTCAAATACTTGCATTTCAAATACATATATTTCAAATTCAGCTATCCAAACGCACCCTAAGAGATGTCGCTGGGTACTATAGTGACTGCTAGAACACTAACTTAATCCAAAATGAAAATGAAATGTATTCAAGCGTGCTCGCTCATAAGCTAACCTGCCATACATAGCGTTATGCTACTTCTTGTTGCCCTTGCAATCACGCCTTGGGATTCTAGTACATGGATAGAGAGCTGTAAAAAGACAAAAGGTCAATCATAATGTAAGATAACCATCCGGCAGAAATCATTGTCAAACTCAAAGTTAAGCAATACTAACCCTATCGAAGCGACACAAAAATATGTATTCTTTTAGTGATGGCTCTAATTGAGATCACCTATAGATTTGTAGGTTAAATTTCATTTATAAAAAAAATCTCCAACCTAGTTCCAAGTTCTTGTCATCACGTTTAAATTCTATCGACAAATAACTGTCCAAGGCGTAGTTAGTTAACTACCCAGACTAATCTGTACCCGATCCATGTTAGGATGATCTTTTCTTTCGTCCATCAACATCAACATCTTCTTGTTGAATGATCCCACTCTGTTTTGGCTATGAGATATGAGTTATCGAAGTGAGCAAGTTAGTCGTCTTTCTATATCATGATACAATCAGGTGCACGGAAAAACAATTTCATCGATATTTTTTCTACACCGAAGTCAAATAATTATTTCCTGGGAGCCCACCGATAGCATAACAACACAAAATTAACCAACTCATTCGTTTTAAACTGAATTTCAAAATAATTTGATGGTTAGATCAAAATTCATTAAGCTCTAACAAAACCAATAACAAATACTATGGCACCTCTCAAAAGTAACCGTTTGTACATTTTGAATACCCCAAACTCGAAGACTCCTATATACTCAATATGGAAGAAAACTGTCAAAGTATAATAAATAAACTATATACTATCCAAATCCCATTGACTCAAAGCAACTAAGTAATTGATGGTCAATCTAGCATTGGCTCTCCCAATCTCATTGGACTCTTGGATGCTGCACAGCCATATAATCTCGAGCATCGTTCCCTCTAGGCCGGACTGATAACCACACTCCAGAGTCCAGACCACTCTACCAATAATATCAATAGTTGATTTACCACTCCACTTGGTTACACACCATTGGCAACACATTACTCCAATCTCACAACCCTAGTTGTGCTTGATCCTACAATATCATATAAAGAACAAACTGAACACACGAACGTCCAATAAATATATGGGATTTAGCTTCTAAACAACCTAGGCAGAGAAGACAAAGACCAAAAACTGGTTTCTCCCACGCAATCAACTTGTCCTGCAACTTCAAGTGATCATTTACCACCAACCAGAGAATAATACCTTCCCTTCCCATTTAAATCTGACCCAAAATCTTAGATATAAGAGCTAGTTGTTGCTCTTTACTTCAAGATACACTTCTAGATCCAAGAACCAACAGTTGTAGCCTTAACATCCCAAACCGAAGTTAGTTTAACACGGTAACGACGTATCCAGGTGACCCATAGAGATCCTTCCTCATCAAGAATTTCCCAAATATGAGGAAGCACACAAGCTTTGTTCCAGATGACAAAGTTTCTTATACCTAGCCCAACTTTCTCTTTAGGGTGTGCAACAAACTGTCAGGAGGCAACAACCCTTGTTCTCATACTATAGTCATCAATAACCCATAAAAACTACTGCAAATTGACTCAACCTCTTTCACAACATATTTAGGAAGCACGAAAATGTTCATCCAAAACTACCTGACACTGGTTAGCACAGATGTGATCAATTCTAATATCTTAGTAAAACTTACAGAGTTTGCCCTGCAACTTCTATTCTTTGTGGCAATCTTATCAATCAAGACTTTACGCTCAGCTCTTGTAAGTTTCTAGTTATTAGAGGTACCCTTAGATAAAGAATAAGAAGACTAACTAAGGGAAACCTCAAATAATTTGAAATAGAATGCTTATCTTCTGGTGAGATTCCCCCACAAAATAATTGTCACTTTGCAGGATGGCATCTCAAGCCAAAAAACAGAATAAAACACATCAATCAATCTACGTATACCAACCCCTCCATGAATAGAACCATTTGAGAAGACCAGCAAGTCATCAACGAAACACAAATGTGTAATCCCTAATGGTTTGCATCTCAGGTAAAAGTGAATCTGACACTAAGTATATGAAAGACCAGTTGACTGAGTCAAAAGCTTTTATAATGTCTATTTTAACAGTGCAACATGGAGTGATATTTTTCTATGGTAATCGTTCACTAACTCAGATGCCAAAGAATATTATCACAAATGGTGCGCCCTTTGATGAAAGCATATTGGGAATGAGAGACAAGCAAATGAAGTACAGATGCTAACCTGTTGGAAAGTAGCTTGAACATCCCCTTATACATAGTATAGTAGCATGATATCGGACGTAAATCCTTTATCTGCTTGGCATTAAGAATCTTAGCCACAAGAGTAAATGAGGTATAGTTCAGAGCTGTTAGAGTAATTCCATTTTGAAAGAAATGAAGTTCCACATCCTCAACAGACTTCACAATTAAATCCCAATGCAACATATAGAATTCAGAGGGAAACCCACATGGACCAGATGATTTATCTCTCCAAGGATTCTAAATAATTGCTTAATCTCTTCTATAGTTATTACTTATCAGCGTTTCAACATCTTTAGAAGGTAACCTTTTCAGTGACAACTGATGGTAGAAACTATCAGGCTGAGTTGTCACTTTCCTATTCACTTCTCCATTTAACTTCTTATAGAAGTCAATTGCAACTCTTCCCGTCTCTTTAATATCAGTCACTTAATTCCCATGTGCATCTCTAGTGATCTACTACCTATTAGTGTAGATTTTCACTAAGGCGGTATTCACAACACCTTTCTACCCCCCCCCCCCCCCCACCAAGTTCTAGATTTATGCTTATAAAAGCTTTCTTCATCTCTTTGCACTTTCTTACACTACAGAGCTAAAAATCCATCTTCTTCTATCAACTCTGCACTTGGGGTTTCAAGAAGATCCATTTGCACCAACTCTAGTCTACTTTTCAAAACCCTTGCTTTTGCTAAGATATATGAGTATACTTCTCTGTTGAGTTTCTTTAGCTTCAATTTGACTTGCCTCAACTTACCATAGAAGATATAGTAGGGTAGCCTTCAACACTTGTACTCCATGCCTCTTATACCAACTTTTCATATGTAGGATGGCAGGACCACAACTTAAAGTACTTAAACGGCTTACGGAGGCTGTCAACCTAAGGAATCACATTCAGCAACAGTCCACAGTGATCAGATACTTCACGGTGAGTGGTATGAGTTGTAATAAACGAGAATGTGCTTCTCCGGGCTTAATTAATGAGAATCCTATCTAACCGTTTAGCTATGGGGTTATCTTTTTGTTTTTTGTACCATGTAAACCAAGCTCCCAAAATCTTGTGGTCAACCAGATTCATCCCTTTAATCTAAAGCCTGAAGCCATCCATACTAGCAGTCACATTTACAAGATTAGAAGTCTCACTAGGATCTTTAACAACATTGAAGTCACCTAGAACGACCAAGGTAATTAACGACTCTTGTTGACATATAAGTTCTTTATATAGAATACTTCTCTCAGCTTTCTTATTTTAATTGTATACTATCACCATAATAAAAGGAACTACACCCCCAACCATGAATTTTATGAAATGTTTTCCATCATCAATCCTTTTAGCAACCAGGACAGCTTTCCAGAATAACCAGATGCAACCATTATGGTACTTGGGATAGTTATTTAAATGCTTCGAATTACTAAAAATTTTGGTGAGGATTTTCACACTATTATCTTTAGTAACTGTAGTTTCAATTATTGATATAATATAAAACTTTAGAACGTTGAACTTTCTTAACGCTACAATGTGTTTCTCATGAACATTAAAGGCTCTTGATATTCCAATTGAAAACCTTCATTTACCTCTCTATCTCTCTCTCTCTCTCTACCTCTTACAGGGGCACGGGGAGGAGGCTCCAAACACATCGCCTTATCACAGGTCTACTCAAAAGAAGAAAAACTTTTCTCATCCAAGTAACTCTTACCAAATCCTGAGAATTGATTATATGGGCTTTTTATATTGGATGTAGATGCTTGAGACTTTACTTGTGCTTTCTATTTGTGACCAATTGGAACCCATCGCCTGCTTCAACATCATGAGTGTCCTTAAATTCACCCACTAACACTTCAACAGCTTCAGGAGTGGTCACTTTCTCTAGAGATGAAGAGGTAACCCCGATAATATCAACATCAGTCACCTGCACAACTTCCTTGGACTGCTCAAATACAACTTCCCCAATCTTCTCCCCGCCCTTGGCCTCTTTCATAACCAGTTTTACTATCTTCTCTCTCAACCTGTTGACAGCCCAAATTCTTTTTGTTCTTCCTCTTATATTTGAGCAATCATGTTCAAATACACTACACTTCTCACATTTACGAGAAGCATGACAATACTCAACATCCACTAGCATCTCAGGACGGCCATCAGGGGTGATACTCAGCTTATTTACTAATAACTTCACAGTTATCTTCACACAAACCTTTGCTACCCCAATCGTGTCCCCTACTTTGTAGGAAAATCCATACGAAGAGGCCTACCTAGAGAGCTAGCAATCCGCCTAAACCTTTCTTAGACATCATCTCCGTCTGTAAGTTTAATAGTAGTACCCAAACAAGGTCCATAGAATTATCAATGGCTAAGGGTTGAATACTTTGTTCCCATTTGCGAAGGAATACCATATTTTTGTGGTGATGCCAAGAACCCAAACGGACACGTTCAGGAATTGAAACAGCACTAGAAGGTTGCCTAACCATTATGCCCTTATTGCTCCATCCCACTCCCAAATTCAATTTTCCCAAAAGTGAAATAAAGATAGAGATGCATGACGATCAAGAAACTGCCCGACTGGACAATTCGCCCACCTCTTTCTACCTTCGTCAATTACATACTTAGGGATTCACGAGGAGCCTTTAATGAAGTCTGGCTCGTAGTAATCCAGTTTGAAATCAGGATTGATGTAAAAAGGGAAGCCCAGGTGTGTCCGTCGACGACACCTGATGAGGCTCTATCGGTGACGCTCATCATATTTTGGAGAATGTCCAGAAGATTTCCTATGGTTCGCGGGCAAGTAAGTTATCATAGTCACCAGACCATGATATTTTCCAGCAGCCTATGATGATGAATTGTACAACGATGCGTCTTGCACCTAGATCACGTTCAACAGTTCAACATCCCATATGTGACTTTTGACCGTAAAACTAGCCTGGCTAGAGTATATGAGAGAGAGAGAGATGAAACCAAAAAGAGGAGAGTTGTAGAAACAGACGTAGGTCTTCTTCTTCAAGATAGAGAGAAAGTGATGAGGTAAGAGGAGGAAGAAGAAGAATAAGAAAAAGGATTGGACTTGTCCACGGCTAGAGGGTTAAAGATTTATTCTTGAAATGGTGAATCAAGCAACTAGAAGGAAGGAAAATCATCTCACCAAACATTTTTCTTCCATCTAGTTTGTATTTCCCTTTCTAGCAATGGAGTAGTTTCCCATTTCACTTGGATATTGGAAACCCTAGTCTAGGATGTATTAAATTGTAAGAGTTGAACTCTATTTGTGTTGGATTAGTGATTAATATAATGTTTGAGATATTTTTCATGAATCTTGGGTGTTGTTTATCATATCTCAATGTTGGGTTAATTTTACCTAGAAGGAGGAAATTTCCTTAGAGCCCACATCTTGGCAATTTGGTTAACCCTTTCTAGGGCAATTCTGGACAAACCTCAAACATCGAATTAGTGCCATGATTTCATCGTGATTGGTTGCTTTTCGCCATTACGAATTAACTTCTGAGGGATTGGTTTTTACAATCCTCGTTAGATTAAGAAAGCTAGTTTCCTAGCTTATTATGACAATCCTTAGTCGATCGATTAAGAGAGTTCGGGTTTCCTAACTAATTGCATTCTCATCACCATATATAATCACACTCATCACATTAGAGTTCCATTCGTTGTATCTTGACACGAGACTAGGGGGAACAATATCCGGGTGAAGCTTTCTCAAATCGAATTCATCACAACTTACTTTGCTTGCTTGTTCAATTGTAGTTTCCTTAGCTTTCACCACAAACTATTTTCTAGATGATATATAAGCGATTAAAGTAGGGGTACATAGACCACCTTGGGTTGATATTTAAACACTTGCCTATTCTACACCCGACTATTAATTGCAGTTGGCCTATAGTTGAAAATTGTGTAGTTAGGTTTGAGTTTACATTTTTTGGCACCTTTGCAAGGAACATTTACAGTATATTATTCAAAAAAAAATTCTTGTTACTCTAACATTTCATTTTAAGCATTTTTTAGTGAATCTTCCTTTTCTTGGCTTGTCTTGTGTTTTGAAAAGTGTGTGCAGGGGGTGTATGACCCGGAGTGATCCGACACCTTTTGCACCACTAGATGAAAACATCAAGCGAACCCTCCGAATCTTGGCTTGTGAGGGAGGAAGTTGAGGGAGGAAAGAGAAAGATTATCGGATCAGGGATAACCACAAGTTGCTCACAAAGGTAAAGTGGACGGAGAAGTTGCTTTTGAAAGAGGAGTTTCAAGTTGAGAACCTTGAGATGGCGGAAGAAGTGTCGAATTATGTTGAGGCACTTGCACACGCGAGTGCGAAGTCTGACAATTCTTTTTAGGGTTGTTTTGTGATAGGGACAAGTGGCTTGGAGGAACTACAGGAGGAGGAACATCTTACAAGTGTAGAGGAAGCTGAAGTGCCGGTGCAAGTATTAGAGGTAGAGCAACTACCTCAAACTTCCAAGATCCCCACTTCTTTGGAAGTTTCGCCGGATTTGGAGTTGAAGTTGAAGCCACTCCCTAGCCACCTTGAGTATGCTTTCTTGAGGTAAGAAGGGAAGCTTCACGTCATCATTAGATCCAACCTCACATCGAAGCCAAGTACTGAATTGGTGGAACTCTTGAGGTGGCATGAGAAGGCAATTGCATGGAAGATCACCGACATTCGAAGGATTAGTCTTCTGTTAACCGGTTCAACAACCTCAAAATCATCCAAACCTTGAAGAAGTGGTGAAATGAGAGGTGATCAAGCTATTGGATGTCGAGATCATCTACTCCATCTCCGACAGTCAATGAGTAAGCCCGACACAATTGGTTCCTAAGAAGGGGGTATAACAGTGATAGCAAATGAGAAAGAGGAGCTCATTCCTACAAGGACGATGTCACGATAGCGTGTTTGCATTGATTATCGATGGATGAATGATGATACTAGGAAGGATAATTTCCCCTTACCCTTCAATGATCATATTCTGGAAAGATTGGTGGGGCATGACTTCTATTGCTTCTTGGATGGGATGTCCAGATACTTTCAGATTCCGATTTCCCCCGAGAATCAAGCTAAAACAACATTGACTTTCCCTTTTGGTAATTTTTCCTACCAGCGTATTCCCGTTGTGTTATTTTTTACAAGTTAGTGGGAGAAATCATGGAAGTAGTCATGGATGATTTCTCGGTTTTTTGGAATTTGTTTTCTCAGTGTCTTGCCAACCTGGAGAAAGTGCTTGAACGGTGTGAAGAAACTAATATGGCTCTGAAATGGGAGAAGTCGCATTTTATGATTCGAGAAGGCATCGTGTTAGGACACAAGATTTCAAAGAAGGGTATTGAAGTTGACAGAGCAATGGTTGCTACCACCTCCAACATCTGTCAAAGGGATCCAAAGTTTCCTAGGGCATGCAGGGTTTAACCAACGTTTTATAGAGAACTTCCCAAAATTTGTGTTGCCATTGACGAAGCTTCTTGAGAAGGATGCACCATTTGTCTTCAAAAAGGATTGTTTTAAAGAATTTGACATTATCAAGGCAAAACTCACCAATGTTCTGATCATGGTTTCTCTGGATTGGAATCTACCATTAAAATTATGTGTGACGCAAGTGATTATGGAGTGGGAGCTGTGTTGGGGCAAATGAAAGGCAAGTACTTCCAACCTATTTTCTACGCTTCAAAGTCTCTAAATGGGGCTCATAAGAATTACACCACCACTAAAAAGGAGTTGTTGGCGGTCATTTTTTCCTTAGACAAGTTTCAGTCATATTTAGTGCTATCAAGCTGATTGTTTACACTAATCACTCTGGTATTCGATTCCTGATGAGCAAAGCTGACGCCAAACCATGACTTATCCGGTTAATTCTTCTTTTGAAAGAATTTGATGTTGAAATTTGGGACAAAAAAAGGGTGGAAAACTTGGTTGCCGATCATCTTTCCCGACTCGAGGGGCCTTCAAGAAATTCCATGCAAGGAGAAATAAATGAATCATTCCCCAATGAGAGGTTATTTGTAATAGCGGTGGTGGAGAGAGCAACACCTTGGTTCGCCGACTTTGCCAATTATTTGGTAGGAAGGAAATTGCAAAAGGAATGAGTACCAGCGAGAAAAGTAAGTTCTTCGCCGACCTCCACTACTACTTTTGGCATGACCCCAATCTCTTTCGAAACGAAGCCGATGGGGTCATCCGACGTTGCATCCCGGAGAGAGAAATGAGGGCTATTCTCGCCCAATGTCACGAAGGACCCACCGGGGGGCACCGCGGGGGCAACCGCACTGAAAGAAAAGTGCTTCAATTTGGATTCTACTGGCCTTCCCTGTTCAAGGATGCCAACGAGTTTGTTCGGCATTGCGACAAATGCCAGCAGTCAAGTAACATTGCTTCAAACAATGAGATGCCTCAAGCAATTAAAAAATAGGGAGTTGAAGAGAATTCCAGAAAAGATAGTGGATCGATCCCGAAAGGGTTCTTCCATAAACTCGATGACATTCTATGGGCTTACCGCACAGCCTATAAGACAATGGTAGGTAGTTCACCACATGTTTACAGCAAGACATGCCACTTGCTCGTAGAGCTGGAGCATAAAGCATATTGGGCTACCAAATTGTTAAACATGGATCTAAATGTGTGTGGAAATGAAAGGAAATTGCAGATACTTGAGTTGGAGGAGTGGCGGCATCACGACTATGAGAGCACTAAGTTGTACAAGGAACGAAAGAAGCGTCCGCATGACGCTCTTCTCAAGGTGGACAAGGATTTTCAACTAGGTCAGCGGGTACTCCCCTACAAATCTTGGCTCCGCCTATTTCCTAGAAAGTTGAGGTTGAAGTGGACGGGTCCCTATTTGGTGACCCATGTATTCTCTTACGGGTGGTAGAGGTTTTACACCCGTAGCAAGGTACTTTCAAAGTAAATGGTCACCACCTTAAGCGCTACCTTGGGGAGAGGTAATGCTTGAGAAGGAGGTTGTGCTACTGAAGGACTTCTAGTATGGTTGC